AACTGGAAAATCAGTATTTTATTTTTATTGTGAAGGCGTCTCTAATAAAGATCCAACGAAGTAGGTACTTTTGTGCTGGATTATATAAAAAAATATTGGTAATGATGCCGAAGAACTGCACCTATTTTCAGATGGTTGTGCTGGCCAAAATCGGAATCATGCCATGGTCAAAATTCTTATGTTAGTAGTTAGTACAAAGTAACAATATAAAGGAAATACAATATCACATACCTAAAAGAGGTCATTCATTCCTGCCAAATGACAGAATGTTTGGAACAGCAAAGAGACATATTCGAAAAAATGACAGGATTTACACTCCAACATAATTTGAAAATCTTATAGCTGAGGCTAATGAAAATTTTGAAATAATACAGCCTAAAACTGAAGATATTATAGACATAAAGAATGCCGAATCTGAGGATTCCCATGGCAGAGGAAGGACAAAAAAACAACTTTCTCTATTTCCAGTGTCACATTTCACATTTTCCAAGATAGCTCAAGAGCTGGCGGTCATTTTGTAAGTGGTATTTGATAAAATCTGAAAATTGGTAGTATAGTTCTTTTATCTAGTCCAATCATGAAATCATAGACCTGCCAAGTAGTTGGTGGTGGGTTAACGCAACATTAATTATGCAAATTGTAATTTTTTCCGGTAAAAAGAGGTTTTCGATAACAGCTGAAATTTATAGATATACATAAAAATATACCTATATTTAAATGTCTTGAAAAAAAAATTGGCAGGCAATTTTGTTGGCGCGAAATAGATGGCAGGCGTGTTTCAAGTTGGTTATTAAAAATTAAAAAAGAGAGGTCTTTGATAAAACTTGTAATTTATACTCCATTCATTATAGCATTAGACAGAAGTTAAATAAGGTTCTTTTTATGGTATATTTTGTCACAAAATATCAACAATCATGTTACTCTTAAGACTGACGGCTAATTAGCAACATATCCACTTAAATACCAGCTGATATACTTAACCGTTGTCGTCTAAGCTATCTATTAAACAAATTTATGAGTATTTGACTAACTTTAAAGATTTAATAAACATTGCAATAAAAAGTTTTCATCTCAAAGAACCTAAAGAAGCAGTGGTGGATAGTTTCGGCACGATTCTCATGTCACTATAACTTTACCAAATTTAAAACGTTGCCTAATCCCTTCCAACGTTTCGGCAGTACAGCTTTTTAATTTTGTCAGATTATAATGTATTCATTATAGTCAAATAGGTAATCTGGGATTGTCATTAATTGTGAATGCTACTGCCTTTCTTGTTGTTTTACCGTTTTTCGTGATTGAGTTGTTATTATTTTATTGTTGTTTTCTTATATTTTTGTTTTAGTTGTTATCTTTTTGATGTTAATTTTGGCTAAATATGGACGATTCCGTTGTAGGCCCGAGTGGCCTACAACAATTACCTTTGACATTTCAGGAAGTTTTTCCAATGTCTTAATGAATAGTCTAATAATATCTGAGTATATGTTATAAATGTAATAATAAAATTTTCATTTTGTTTTCGTTTCTTTCCTGGGCATAGATATAACTAATTTCTATTCTAATTATATACACTTACAATTACAATTTATCAAAACAACAGATAAATAGTTTTAGTTCCATGTTGGCTTGAGAGCAAAAGATGAATTTAGAAAATGCTAGCCTTATCGCAACCCCAAGAAAATGGAAAATGCCCAACTTTTTCAGACTACCTAATGTTCAGTTTCAACAAAACTATTATATGTATTTTTAAATTTATCTTGAAAATAATATGTTCTGCACTGCTGCTTCTGTGATCCTCTTTTTTCTAATGTTATAATGAATGGACTATACATATTATGTTGTTTATACTTCATACTGTGTTTCGAGCAAGACTTTTACGCCGGATTTTCTCGGTTAAAGTTCAATTATAATGGTGGCCACCCAAAAAAATTGTGTTACGATATATTAATGTTATTTTACCATCAACTAGATTAGACTAGATAATAGTACTATTATATACTACTAATTTTCAGCTTTTATCAAATACCTCCTACAAAACGACCGCTAGCTCTCCGTCTAGGACCACACCAGTTCTTGTGACAACACGTGAATTCATAGATGGTTTAGTCAGTCATGATTTCCAACTTTTACAGAGGATGGGTACCAGGCCCCCCTTACTGTCAAATAATACTCCTGCATATGCTGGTAAAGTGCTAATAATTGAAAAGAAAATGTCTGATTAAAAAAAACTTGAAAGTTTAGTACTCTACTTGTTCCAGCAGAGTACCAAACTTTCTATACAGAAGTTTTTGCATCAAACAACTTCAACAAACAATGAATATCAAGAAATTTACGATAATTAGTAACAGTTCTTCTGAAAATATTTGATTTTGTATGAACATCAGAGAGGTCATTTTGAAAAAGGCATTAGTCCTGAAACTTCAATCAAAGAAACAGTATGTTAAATGCTTTTTTTAAATAATTAAAAGAGTCACAAATATTATATATTTCTTTTATTTAACTACTCCTATGTTCAGTTTCTTTACCACCAATATCTTTTTATAATAAACATATTTTTGTTGTTCCCGAAAAGTTTTAATTAATGGACTTGAGTCCTTTTCGAAATGACAGGTTCAATTATTATGGTATACAAATAAAGAATTATTCATTAATTCTGTTCAAACGAAATAATAAGACAAACGCAGCATAGTAGCAGAGATATCAATCGATATTGAGTCTGTTTTACAACATCTCATAGGGCGTAGACCTCCCACACTCCGACAACGCCGGACAACAAAAAATCGCACTTGACTGGGAAAGTCGTCTAGTACTTTTTAAAACAACGGCCTTTTTCAGTGGTGTCAGTTACCGATTTAGATTAGCTTAGGTATAGGGGCTTCAATTTTGCGCATTTATGACGCCTTTGTCGATTCATTGTAAGTAAAAAGTTGACTGTTTTGTTTCAGCCAATCCAAGTCTGATCAGAAGTGCACAAGTTTCTTAGGGTCTTCACGCGGAAAACCAGTCACCGACTTTTAATCCTTATACTTCTTGTCGCTAGCGAGCTCGAGCCCGCCGGGTGGAACCATATTGATGGAAGCCCAGCGAGCTACCCTCTAGCCAGCGACATGATGTCTTCTTCCAGACAGTTTTAGGTATCGAACTCGAACGCACGTTCTTATTACATTATATATATTTTGAATTGGTTGATTTTGTGTTATTGTTTTTCCATATTCTACGGAATTTTAGTAAGCACTCGACCATTTCACTAATATAAACCTACGACCCGCATAGTTGAAAAGTCAAAAAGCTACAGAAGTTCAAAGACCGACTAAAACCGATTGGTGTTTTTAAAAATAAAACAATAGGTGGGTAAAAATACTAATAATATATCAAAATAGGATGCTAATGTTTATGAAAAAATATTTTAAAGTAAAGTTTAGAAAAATACGTAAAGTGCCTGGGCGAAGTAAATATTCAAACTCATCAGAAACTAAGGTCTTCATCAGAAGTTTCAACAAACTCATAAACTCAAGACAAAATACAACAAGAAAAATAATACGATATCACAAACACGGAACAGTTTTCAAATTAAGTAGTTGCCAGTACATCCGATTACTTTGTAATACCAAGTTATAGAAATAATTCTTAATATAAAATGCTTGAAAAATCCACTTGGTCCCTGGCACCCTGAGATGGGAATCGAACCCACGACCTTTCGCAAACCGGGCGACTGCTCTAACCACTGAGTTACCCAGGACCTAACAGGACTGACGAATCTTTCAAGCACTTGTTACTTTTCGCTACTACAGAGCGTAGTTATTTTCAGTATGGCATTGTGAATGCAAAATTAATAAAAATATAATAATTATAGAAATAATTAGGCAATATCACTGGAATATAAAACAACGAAATAGCCACACAAAGCAGTATTAATAAAAAAACCTACATGACACATTTAGGAATGAAAACGATGAGATCATGGATCCGAGATGTAAGTCACTCAATCAAGTAAGTCTACGTAGTTAAGTTTCTGTTTTTACCTCTCGCGAAAACCCTAAAACCTTTTGCATTAATAACGGATTCAACTATACAAAGTCATCATATCGAATCGATTATTTGATCGAAATCACTAGTTGCAGAACCAAAACCTGTTCAAGCAACGAGTTAGTTTAATATAAACATATATGAAATTATAAAATTAGTAGGACTAAGAGATAAGATATTCTACAAAAATAAACGACCCATATTCCAACATTAATACAAAAATCTACGTCAACTCAATACAGTATGGTGTAAGAGACGCATTATTTTTGAGGAAGGACATCCAGACTGATATATACTCGAATTTGCTGAAAATGCAAGAACAAACATTTTAAAAATTTACTGAGAAACGAACAGTTAAAAACTCGTTTGAAAATATATACTTGCTTATCTTGCTTTGTTCGTTAGATTATGACAACACAGGGAAGCGACGAAAGCAGAAATCGTTATCGCAACATCACGTATATTCTACTTTTTTAGCGAAGCTCACGTAAGGTTGACGTCCTTACGCTGCTAGTAACGTAGTACGCCCACTCTGTATTCCAAGACGCCCATAACAAGGATTTTTGACATCCATAATTCGAATTTACATTCAACAACTAGCCAATCGGAAACCGTTAAAACCCAAACGAAATCCTCAGAAATCGAAACTGAATTTATTATATAATTAAGTATACTAGAAAAACTCAATTCAGTATACTAGGCTTCGCGTTATTCCAATTTTTCAAGCAACACATTTTAAAATCAAGCATATTGTAAAATTTTTCATTGAAAATAAAGAAAACTATGTTCCGAAACAAAAAATTGACATCGCTTTCATTGTGCAAAGCGCAAAAGTCCACAATTGCAAAGCCAGTATATCAGGTAATTACAGGCAAAAGGCCTTAACGTGTTTATAGTTACGCACAGTACCATGATATGGTGGCGAGTGTGCATAAAACATCCAACTAACGTAGAATGAATTCAATTTCTATTATTCTTCCTTGTCTATTTCTAAACAAGTGACAAAACATAGAAATATAATACGATCCGTTAACAGTAAAAATAATTTATACAATTATTTATTCAATACATTTAATGAGCTTTAAAAAGGATAAATACACAAAAAATAAACTAGGTTCACCGTCAATGTTACACATATTTTCATTTAATATAATAAAATACCAGCACGGTAATATTTCTTTCAAAAAAATTTAACATTAGTCTCATTTTCTTACTCATATATATAATTAATATTCTATCACTATATTTTTGTAAACTACTAAAGTAATTGCTTTCATTAGAAAAACACTTAGGAAACTAGAATATAACAAAATGTTTATATAACATCTTTACTTTTTTCCAATTGCTCATTATCATGCGTCTCCTTCAATTTATCGTCTTCAGTTGATGCTACTTCTTTTTTTTCACTAAGTTTATCATTCTCTATCCTATCACTAGGTTTTGATGATGAATCTTTTTCATCATCATCGGCTTCATCGTCATCATCGTCAACGTTAAGAACTTTCTCATCTTCATCTATAGTTTTATCAACAGCGGTGTCATCTGTCGGCTCGAAAGAATGCAAACTCAATTTCTCCAGCCAGATACCCATAGAGTCCTGTTCTATTTCACCTTTAACTATATTCGGGTAGATATGTTCATGTTTGAACTTCTGAACTGCTTCTTCTTCCGTCTCCCACGTTAGAGTGCTGTGGCTGTCTTTATAGCGGGCATCATATCTCGTGTAATGGACCTAGATATGTAATCGACCATACCATTAGTTATACTAAAAATAATAAATCCTAGAAACACAAGCATATTTATACGTGAAAACGAATAATTATCTTTGTGACTCGCACTCTGAAGTAAAATTCCTCCATCAATATATAAAATTAACTTTCTTATGTTGTCTTGATATAACATCCTGTTTTTGCACATTTCCATAATCCTAGTGCTTTATCTACTTAATTTAGAACCTCATCAATAAGTAAATAACTATTAGACAAAATCACAAACATTGCTCAGATATCAAAGTATATCAAGTATAGAGTAGTCTATATTCTACATTGACACAGATTGGTATCACTTTGAAACCGGCGTGCGATCTCTATTACGGAGGTCATCAGTCAATCTATGTATCTTATTTTCGATTATCCTAAGTTGCAAAAATAACACCCAAATATTCCAGGCCTCAATTGGCTACTTAACTTTTGGGAAAATCATTTTAAAACTTTCATAAAATGATACTAAACCACTATCAGATTTATTTTTCACCAAAAACTGTTATTTAAATAAAGGAAAATAAATATTTATTAATTTAATAAAATTATCCCGACGAAAACAATCAGACGCGCTAACATTACGAGTAGTGATGTCACATTTTGATAAACATGAGTACGGGTTGCACTCGCAATAAATACGTTGACGTTTCAATTTATTGAAATGTGACGTCACACACCGCTCCATTATTTCTTTCTGAATCAAAAATAACTAGGGTAGCTAACTTTTATTAAAACAAATATCTGATTTCAAAGATGAAAAAAGAGTATGGTCTTGTAAAAGAATATCATGCATCCTTTTTTTGAGTGTCCTCTATATGTGTTATAAGGAGAACCCACCATGCGTTATAGAGTACAATACTCTATTTTAGAGTACGGTTGGCAACCCTAAAGGTAACCGAGTGTTAAAAGTAAACGTGGTGGTGACACATACCATATCCAGAACAAGTCCTAGACCAGGGGCTGTGGGTATCATGATTTTATCCTTGCTGAACGCCTTTTCGAGTATACTATGATCGGCGAGACCGCGCATTACTGCGATAGTAAGACCAACCATTTTCCGGATTTGATGCAACATAAAGCTTTGACCCTGTTGAAACAGACATCGAATGAATAATACGGGTTCAGAAAGCATGTATGATCTATTATGGTTCTCGTAATAGGGTTATTGACATAATTTTCAAATCCTTTAAAAAATAAAATTCGCAAATTATACAAGACCAAAGCTTCATCATTTTTAACTCAATTTTGACAATTTTAACATAATAACTCAATTTTGACATCGCTATATATATATACCAATAATGATAGTAATGGTATACAGTCAGGCACGGACCCAGCCCTCAAAAATGGTTGTAGGCACAGTCATTCCATTCAAAAACGGTCGAGTACTAGTCGGTGCATAAACTCACTCATGAACAATCATAGACTTGGTACGAGGGTGGATTGAAAAGTTCGCGGCCCTAACACATAAATACTTAAACTATTTTAATGTAACTGACCTCATTCGTTTAGTTTACTCTCTGGTTGTCAAATTGTAAAATTCTATCGCAATAGCATTAACTGTATTTAAATTAGACCGGATTTGTGAGCCTTTGTGCATTTTTAAAGATTGGAGAAAATTAAGCAACGTGCGGTCATAAAATACCTGTTTTAAAAAAAACTAACTCCCAAAAGAGATTCACGAACATATGTCAACAACATTGGGGGAATCTGCTCCGTCGTATAAGACTGTGAAAAAGTGGGTTGCTGAATTTAAACGCGGACGAGAGAGTATTGAATATGACCCTCGCTCTGGCCAGCCTATGACGACTACAACTGAAGAAAACATCGGGAAAATCTATGATCTGATATTGACAGATCGGACATTGACCATCAGAGTGATTGCAGACACTATTGGCATCTCGTATGAACGAACACAAAACATAATAATCAATGAACTTGGATCTTCTAAAGTTTTTGCGCGGTGGGTACCCAGATTGCTTTCAGTCGAACAAAAACGAATACGCCTCACGATTTCTCGCGACTGTTTGGAAATGTTTGAGGCTGGTCCACAAGATTTTTTATCCAGATTTGTAGCAATGGATGAAACTTGGGTACACCACTACACCCCAGACTCAAAACAGCAATCCAAGCAGTGGAAAAAACGTGATGAACCGACTCCAAAAAAGCCAAAACAATTTTGTTAGCTGGCAAGGTGATGGCATCAGTTTTTTGGGATTCCAAGGGTGTCATCATGGTGGACTACCTTGCAAAAGGTGAAACTATAAACTCGGCTTATTACTGCACGCTCTTACGTCGCTTGCGCGAAACAATTAAAGAGAAAAGGCCAGGATTACTCAGCAAGAAAGTGTTGTTCCATCAGGATAATGCACGCGATCACACGTCTGTTGAATCTATGGCTCAAATTTATGATTATGGCTTTAAATTACTGCCCCATTCTGCCTATTCCCCTGATTTGGCACCTTTAGACTTTCATTTATTCCCAAACCTAAAAAAAACATCTTGGAGGTCAAAAATGTTCATCATGAGGAGGTCGAAGCTGCGGTGGGTGACTTTTTTGAAGGCCTTGAAGAAACTTTTTTATGACATGTGCATCGAGTTAAGTGGAGATTACGTGGAAAAATAAAATTACTTTTGCTTATATTTTATATTGTTTTCTTGCTGAGGCCGCGAACTTTTCAATCCACCCTTGTACCTACGTTTGAACGTACATCACACGCTTTTAATATTTTAGTCACACGCTATGACAAAAAAATAATGTATATGAACCTAATTATAAATATATATATGGAGCACTGTCAATAACCCTATAGTTAAGGATATCGCTTGAAATCAAGAATGGATTTTTGGACTAGCACAGCCAAGTTAAAACATAACTTGGTGAGTGATTATAGAGGTCCTATGACTCGACGGGCTGCGCTATTTAATTATAAAGATTTCCATGGCCACCTTCCAGACTATTTTATTATGAGATAATGAATATTAAAAGGTTGGGAAAAAAGTTAATAACCACACCGCAATATAAACGTATATAATAAATATATCACCGTTACTTTTAATAATAAATAAATAAACACTGAAAAAGGCAAATAAATAATGACAATACTTATGAAAGTAATCATATCGTATTAAAATACTTTATTATTTTAACCAATCTTTATTTATTTCTTGAAAAAACTGAATAAACACGTAATAGTCTCGCCAACTCTCGGACTAGATGCAAAATTAATTGTATTATCCATAAATATTGTAATAACAGAGCAGCTAGTTTGCAAGCTTGATACTAGGCAGCGCTTATATAGCAAGAAGGAATAAAATTCACAAACGAATAGATTTGGTTAGTTAGCGGAAATTGTATTTGAATATATTAATAAAGTTTGTCTGACATCTTAGTAACTTAATGTAAGTGGTTTGGCAACTCAATACTAGATGGCGCTCATTTGGAAAAATGGAATAAATTTCACAATCTAATAGATTTAAGCATAAGCATAATTAGCTAATAAGCATAAGTCGTATTTGAATAATATTAATAAAGTTTGTAATGAAATTTATTGATAGCTAAATTCTCTTAAAAGATTCCAAATCGTTATTGTAAAAATACATTAAGCTAATAACTGAAAATTTAGTGCAAATAGATTAATTATTCCACTGTAAACACCTTTTTTGTTATCAGGTTCGAGTGATTAATAAATGCACTAAAAGAGAAAGGAGCAAGGAATAGTCATTGTCTAATCTCGATAAATTATGAATTATTTACCTATTAATGGAATTCAATAGACATTTTGGAAATATTCAATAAAACAATCAGTTTTATTGTTAAAGGAATTTAAATGGTATAGGTACTATGGTTCTGATTGCCAGGACATGATTATTTATGGGCGTTAACAGGTTATGATTAAAATATAAAATTTTGTAAAGAAGATTATTTGAAGACGAGACTACGATAAAGGATTATTGAATATATCGAAACATTTAATATATACTTTCTATTAGTGATTTATCATTTTATTAGAATAATATACTAGAATATTTAGTTATGGATTTGACTGTTTGAGAGGATGGGTACCAAAACTAAAGCGTGTAAACTCGTCGGTGATTGAAGATTGGTGGAGGAAAGATGAAATGTTCTGGAAAGGATGCGTGTATAAAAGGAGGCCGTCATGAGATTCGTGACTTTTTTCGGCGAGTGACATCAACGGAGGCGGAACTCTAGTAGTCGGTCAGTGTGTTCAAGTGGAAGTAGAACAAGGGCGAAGCGCTGAAGGAAGAGCTGTCGACACGAGGTTAGATTGCTTCATTTAATTACAGAGTACTCTGGCAACTTAATTCTAATGGTGGAGATGGGTGGCGCAATGAAAAAATGGTAGAATCCTTCAGTCTTGATTGATTTGCGAAAAACATACATAGAATCACTTACAACGAAATACTATGATATTCACTCTATGCTGGTCTCGATCAGAAAAAGAAAGATTGACAACCAGCAAAACAAACGCGCGAATTGGAATACGAAAAAGTAATAGTTTAAAATATGAACGGCCAGCATTATAAATTGTCTAAAGAGTAAACCTGCCTAAGTAATGTGCTCGGACGTTACAGTACCCATGGCTACTTTCCAGCCCCATCATCAATTCAGCTGTGTTGCTTATTAATATTGCATTTCCATCCAAGTTATTTGTGTAAGCAAAATTTCAGTGTGACAGAATTAGCTTGCAAGATTTGAACCACACTAACAAACTTACATGGCAAGTTAATTAAAAGCTTGTAAAAAGTATACTCACCTTTACCAGCAACACTGCAAACTCCATGTCAGATTGGACGAATACTTTTTCAACGTTGAAACTTAACATATATCTAGATGAGGATGGATCATGGTAGTGCCTGAAATATTGAATAGTCAGTACCTTGCATAAAAAACAAAAGTATATGTTTTTATAACTCAATATTTTTTTTATTATAGTAATATTGTTCATTAACATAAATTCTTTATGTACTATTTTTAAACAAACAATGGAATCTTAATAAATATCAAAGGAAATGCTAATAGATTTGAGTTTACCATTTAACATAATTAGAATTTTGAATACATAGGCTTTAACTGCTAAAATTTAAACTAACAAAGGTGTGATATCTCCAGTATATGTTCAAATTTTTATCAAGTCTCTTTAGAAAAAGGTTATAATTAAATATAAAGAAAGTGAATTTCAGGGATAACGTTTTGACAAAGAGCTCCCTCAAAAATTACTTTAGACAATTTAGCAAGCGTGTAAAATAATAAAAAAAAACAAAGTAGCTCACTTTTTTTCTGTAAAGTTGTGGTAGCATTTTGTTCCTTTATAATTCGACAGTATTCTGTTAACCTCTTCCAACTTTTCAGGTGTAATTCTATATAGCTTTCTTTCTTCATTAGTAACAACATTAGGTTCAAATGTATATGTTGGAAGAGTATAGCTATATGTCCGAGCATCACATTTTACTTTTGAATTGAATTTATTTGTAACTCTCTTCATGCCAAATATTCTAATAGATTCTGGTAATCTTCTATTGATTTCTTCGATGTTTGCTTCAAGTGCTGCAATAAATTATATTTTTTATTAACTATGTACAAGCTATACTTGATTATGAACACTATCTGTATAAGGGCTGAAATCTTAACAATATGCAAAATTAATAAAAATGTTAAGATGCATATTTCATTAAGAATTCTGATGAGGATTTTTGCAAATTAAATAAATGATAATCACCGCAAATTTTAACGTGCGTGGACGCCATTTTAATGACGTAATTGTGTTCAAAAATCAGTACTGTTTACAAAAACTGGTTGAAGAGTACACTTATTGGGCTGGGTTCTGTTGAGATCACACATTTTTGTTATGTTTTTTAACCTTTAACTATGGACGTGCGGTCTCACGGACCGTCTTGCAGTTTGTGATTCTCGTGTCCCCCTTCTTCTGCGTATCCCACGCGTGTGCCGGCCTCAGTAGCTTCGGTTTTTGTGGCGAAACGACTGTTGAGCGTGGAAGTTACGTCTCCGGCTAAATGTTGGGTGAGTAATTTCGTTTTATATTTTGAGTGCGGTCTGTGAGACCGCGCGTCCACATTTATGCTATATATTACAGGCGATGGTGATTTTGTTTCTTTTAGATTTTGTAAAGTAAAATGTTGCAAAACGGTTATCCTGACTTCAGGCAAACAAACATCGAGTTCGTTGACTCAGAGAGCCAGTAAAATATTGCGATTGGATGAGCCTTCTTTTGAAGACGAGTTTCAACGATTAATTTTAGAATCGGGTCAGTGCGACAGCGATAGGGATGTTTATAATTGTTTGCTTTATGTAGCTTACATTGAAGCAAGTCATTCGAGTGAATCAGAGGTTGAAGAAAGTGGTAGTAGTACCACATTTGACGACGATGTAAGGTGATCGGATAATGAAAGTTTAGATAACGACAATATACCTATGCAAAGATTGCCAATAAATATGACCAAGTTGGTCCCTTGTTGAAATTTTTATGTTTAGTGTTGAGAAGATTGTGTTTAGTTTTTTATGTTCTTAGTTTTTTATATTTAATTCTAAAAGAAGTTAAACTAACGAACAATGTCATTTTCTTGTGATAATTTACCTATAAAATGATCTCAAGCTCATAAGTCTGAAAAGTGCCTTTGATTGTTCTATTGTTAGATTAAGTTTTAAATAAATTAATTTTTCATTAAAATTGCATCTTTTATTTACACGTTATAACTCGTCTAAGGGTAAAACAAAAAACTATACAATAATTACACTCAATAAGATAGAAAACAACCCATAAAGATAGCGGTCTGTGAGGCCGCACGTCCATAGTAGTGTAACAAAAATGTAACATCCATAGTTAAAGGTTAAGGTCACTTGTTAAGATTGACTAAAATAGCCACTGCTATTATGATTTTTACAATAATTAAACATAATTTGATTAATAATAATCATCCAATGTCTCTCAAATATATCCAATGTCTCTCATTTCATTATCAGTTTTGATTATGTTTAAAAAAAAGTCCTTTCCGTTTGATATTGTTATATTACAAAATAAATTTTTTTCCATATACCTCAATATTTACATATAAATTGACTCTTTACCAAAACTTCATGCAATTAATTAAGAAAGTCAAAGTTTTAACAGTATTTTAACAATATTTTGGGGATTATTCATAAACATTTCAATAATTCATAAATAATTTATATCTCGCCTTTTGTTCTATCTATACTTACAATGAACCAATAACACCCTCATGACCTTATATGAAAATAGATTAGATATAATGTCACTTTGGTGTTATTTAGACAAGGTTGTAGCCCATTATTAACACTATCTATCTGCATATTATACTTTCACGATTAAACTGTTGGACTGATTATTGGATTCTTTCAACTTTTGGACTGATTGTTGAACAGTTTCACCTACAAGAAGCTACACTGCTGTCTTTATGAAAAGTGCAATAACTTTGTATTGCATAGAAAAAGGAACTTTTCCAGAAACAATAGAGTTGAAGTGTGTAACAATACTAACGTAGTTTCAATGACACAACCTGTCTGGCTGCTGAGACTCCTTTATCAGTCCTCGAGCTCCTTTGGAACTGCGTATTCTGCTGGTTGTTAAAATCATCTTCTGTTACATACTTAGCATCCAACATTGCTTTAAAAAGATCTTCTTCTATAGTCCTTACACCAGGATTTCTGATGAAAACAAAATTCACATTTATTAAAATCAATTAAAATAATTATTTTGTTGTGGTAACTTTGTTGATTGCCATAACACAAAGCAAAGTAAAATAATGTTTTCTAATCTATAAAAAACATAGCCACTTCATTACTTACCTCTGCATACCATAGTAGTCCACACCACAGTAACCCAATAGTAAAGCCATTTTTTTCTTTTTTATTCTCTCAACTGGCTTATCAGACTTATCACACACCCTTTTCTCCTCAGATTCTCCATTCTTTTCTTTATTCGGATTCAATTCTTCCCACTGTCGTTTCAGTTTACGATTCTTAAATCTAGTTAGGTTTTTGTTCGCTATTATATCTTCAGTAGGTTTATTTTCATCTTTAACAGTATCCATTACAGCTACAAATCGCCTCTGTATGTCTAATAATAAAGTAATTTAACCATATGTAAAGATAGAATACTACAGCCTATGCAGGTATTGTTCGTTTTGATGAAATTAATAACACACTATCAAACATCTACAAATATACAGCAGCATGTCAGATAACAACAAAATTCTTTTATTGACTTTGAATTCTACCCTCACTGTATTTGAGTTTAAAATAAAGTGGAAAATTTAAGAATTTAGTTAGAAGACGTGTTTGTTGACTGTACATAATGTAAAATACCGGCCAAATGCGAATTGGGACTCGCGCTCGTAAGGCACCGTACCGGAAACGAGAAAAGGGTCGCGTTTGTTGTATGGGGAAGCCCCTTTAAATATTTAAATTATTCTGGGTTTTAGTATTTGTTGTTGAGGCGGCAACAAAATTCATCATCATCTGTGAAAATATCAACTGTCTAACTTTCACGGTTCATAAGATACATACTTTTATCGATTAAGTATTTGTAGGCAATAAAATTTTATAATTATAAATTTTGTAGACATAAAAGTTAAAATTTTTGAGGTTATTTTATTTTTTTTACCGTGACTGTCTTTCCCGTGGAAACACGAATGTTATGATTGAATCTAAGACAAATGATCAATGTTTAAAACGTTTTCATAAATCTTTACGCATTATATAAAAAAATGTGCCAGTTTTGTAATAAAAAACAAGTACCTGCTTTTAACGGATGCCTCGGCAATGATTTTCTTAGTGTATTTACAAAAAGTTTGAATAAAGAGACTGACATACCTAAATTAAAAATATCACGCAAATACTTCAATAATCTATTTCTTGTAATCACGTTTTTAATTATATATTATATTATATAAAAGTTACGATTTCCGAAAAAAACAAGCCTGCACTCTTTAGGCATGTCGATCTAAAATAGGGATGTCAGGATGATCGATATTCATCGATGTTTAGCCAGAAAATATTTATGTTTTGTCATCGATGTTTTAAGTTCGATAACATCGGCACATCGATGTTTTCTAGCCAAACATCGATGTTTATAAATAAAATATCAATATATCCTTAGGATCATCTTACGTGCTCTAGATGTAGGTATTAGCTAGATGATCTCATATATCAACTTCAACTGTTTCCACTAAATATCATCGGTTGCACTTCCAACAGGAGTAGCCAAACAAGTAGCTTTTTCTTTGCTTGCATTTTCCAAAGAAGTTAAAAATAAATCTGACGACTTCAGCGCTGTTTGGTACCCTATTAAAATTTTATTAAACAATTCATAATTTATAAGGGCCATTATCAGACTCGCGCTATAAAGATCGTTTTTTTATAATCAACGATGTTGTAAACAAAAAAAAAACAATGTCTTAACATCGATGTTAACAAAATCAATCATCAATGTTAACTCACGGCCTCACGCAAAACCAATGCATTATTTAATATTTGATAATATCAATATCAATTTAAATTAATCGATATTACCAAAAACATCGAAATTTTGATAAAAAGAAAACTGAATTTTTTGTATGTAATACATACATATCTTGAAATACATATTTTTACATACATGTTTAGAAAAGTTGGCTCTACTCCTTATCAATAAAGAGTAGAGCCAACTTTAAAATAACTTTAAGATTATAAGGTTCTTCCTTATCATAATTAGTTTTCCTTCAATCAGTTGATATAAAATATTGGAATATGTAATGATTTTTTCTGTTTCTTAATAAATTCCGAAAGATTCACTGTATTTTATATCTTTGTAAATTATTGCAAAAAATCATCGATGTTTTCCAACATCGATGTTCAGTTTTCGATAAATATCGGACATCGATGTTGGGCTTACGATGATGAAATCGATATCATAATCGATGTTTTTCTAATATTGATGATCCCTAATCTGAAATCATTTTATAAAAAATCAATTTTTTTATCAAATGAGATTTCTCAGATCGATTTGGAATGCTACATGTATTCTTGAATCGGTTCATGAACCCCTCGAATCGGACAGATTCAATGAGGAAGTATTTAAAAAAAAAACGAAAGCGCTAAAAAAGAACCTCCACTAGAAGGCGATTCTAGCAAAAGTTGATTTTTGCAGGAAACGAATGGACCAAAGACAGTTATTTCCGTTTCTGATAACTAACATATTAAAAAACTGAAATTTGAAAAGTTTGAAACTTAGATATCAATACAAATACGAAAATGTACAAATAGAATATGAGTTTTTTATTGAGTTTTAAAAACTAATTTACTTTTAAACACTTTCAAACATGGAGAAATCAAGAACGTACCGTGGCGACTGGCGACATCTCGTTAGATTTCGGGAACTAGGGTTTTTTTTTAAATACTTTATCATTATACGTCGCAATTTCGTTTTATGTTGATAGAAGAATGGTACGTTCTTCAGTTTAGCCAAAAGTTAAAGATAAATGATATAAATATATGTAAAGAAAGACTAATCTTTACATATATTTATCTCATTTATCTTTAGGTTTGTTCATCGACTATTGAACTAGTTGAGCAAACCAAAGATTTTTTAATTGGCGATAAGTTGATTCTACGTCAACGGTTAATTTTAAAGTAAAGATATCCAAACTTCTTCTTTTAACTGGTCCGCTGGATCGCTCATCGCTAAAAGCAAAATCAGGCACAAAAACAAAAGAGAATCGAAAGAATAACACAGCTGTTACTTCGATACGCGGACGAGAAACAAAGAAAAAAATTCTTTACCGATAAAAAAAAATTACAATCGAGGAGCACTACAATAAACAAAATGATCAAGTGTATGCACATAGCTCTAAAGAAACTTCCGAGGTAGTGGCCAAAGTTCAGCTAAGCCATCATCCATTGTTATGATTTGGTGGGGTGTCTCCTACCAAGGGGTTACAAAACTCCATTTTTTTCGAAAAAGGAGTGAAAACTTCAGCCAAAGTGTATTAAGATATCGTATAAGAAGCGGTAGTTAAACCTCTCAACAATATAAAATCGAAGTGTGGACAAGCCAACAGGCGTTACAGAGTCATGAGGCGCGCTCTACCCAAATTTGGCCTGAGCAAAATGTTCCAGACTTCATAATTTGTAGGTGACTGATGATTGGCCTTCGGCTAGTCCGTACTTAAATTCTTTCGACTTTAAATTGTGGTCTATGCTAGAGGATGTGGCCTGCTCTAAGAAGCGTCACCCAAATATTGAGTCGTTCACGAAATCCTTGGAGGAAGCAGTGACCAAGTTTCCAATGGAAACCGTTCGTAAATCCATCGACGAATCGCCCAACCGTTTAAAATGTGCGTTGAAGTTAAGGGTGGACACTTTGAATAACTAGTTTAGTACCTTTTTCACTCTACATGATCGATCACATATAAAACTTTTAAATAAAATTATTTTTTTAGAAATTATCGGATAATTTCTTTGTATCAGAACTTATGGCTAAAATAGGTATCATATTTTTCATATAGAAGAAAATATAAAATTTGTTAGAAAAATGCTAAAAGAGATACGAGCGAGGGTCGAACACAGTATAAAAGACAATGAAAAATATTTTTGGAAGTATATAGTATATCACAACGAAGGAAAAATTCTGCTATACCTAGCATGTATATTATGAAAATTCTATTGCTCATGGTCCTGCGTCGTGATGTGAACGATAAATAAGATTTTCATTCTATATTCCAGCCGTCATCCGTGTCAGAATGTATATGTATATGCTATCAATGAAGAAGGATTAAAAAAAAGCACCAAAATGCACCTAGATGGCGACGCTAGCAAAAGTTGATTTTTGCAAGGAAACGAATGGACCAAAGATAATCATTTCGTTTCTTTTAATATTAAGAAACCTTTTATAGTTTTCTATTATACTATGATTCACTATCGTGCTAGTGCTGCCATCTACACCAAGCTTTGCGTATTATTCCCTATCCCTATTCGCCATCCTCTGTCACGGCCAATAGGGACTGATGGATGCGATAAACAGGGATAATCTTTAAGTACGCCCTCTATTAATGCACTCCCTTATGAAAAAAGCTTGCTTTCTTAGTTCTGTATACCAATTAGTAAGCACGTAAGTAGCCGTGTTTGTACATGGAAATCTTAAACAACAAAGATATCACAATATTCAGACGTAAGAAAAATGTTTGCAAATTGAGCTGACCAGCAGGGCGATTCCATATAAATCTAAACCCGATTTCGAATTCACTAAGGTGACCGAATTCACTTCGAAAGCGAATTGGCTCAATTTAGTGTTGAAATTCTATTGATTCCATTTTTTGTATAAAAAAACAAAACAAGATTGATCGATTCATACGTGTCTCAGATATTTTATCCCTGTCAGTCAAACTCACTTCAGTCACTTTCGAAGTGAATTTGAACACCGGTGTGAATTCGAATTCGGTTTCGGGTTTTTATGGAATCATTACTTTAGAATTATCTGCAGTAATCTAAATTTAGAATTCTCCTTTTGAGCTAATTGATTAAGGATGTTGTCAATAATACCCATATTACATATATCAAACTAAAATATATACCTTCCAGAAAATGCAACGGCAGTTAGTAAATGTAGGTTAATAGTATGTCCAGTTCAATAATGAATGCAGGCGTAAACAAAACTATTCCTCACCCCTCCCGCCATTGGGGACAAGAACCCCAGTCACCTACTTTATGTCTTTAGTCAATCGGCAAAAAGTGCGCAAGGCTGAAAACCGCGCAGGCGCGTAGATAATAGACTACGGCATAACCGGCAGTGTTCTAAGTTCCTAAGCATGGGTTGACGTGACATAACCAAAATGAGGGGCGGTAGTTCCGAACGCCTTGTGGTGAGACCTTCGCGACGCCGCGGTGAAACGCGCGCGAAATTAACACGGTACATAACGGTGATGCTGGCAGCGTTGCTAGGCGGAGGTGGTTCTGCTCTTCTTTTCCTCGTGCCATTATACGCAGATCCTGCCTTGAGTGCGCTCGCTGCAGACTTCGATCCAGTGCCAGCCGAGTGCGTCACAGAGAGAAGGGACGATAGGATGGGTCTAGACAACTGTACATGGGCATCATGCAGGGAAGGCTGCACAAGCGACGCATATAAATGCACCCAACTCCACGTTAAATACAAAGCCTACTCAGAGGATTGGCGTCCAGCTGTACTTTTCGTCAACATAAAGGGATGCGGATATCCACCGTCTGTGGACTGCGAAAACTTCACTATGAGCTACGGATATGTCGGCGCTAAGTATCCATGCTATTGGTCACGAGCTGATACTAGTGTGGTAATTCCGAGGTGGTCCAGAGGCGAACAGGTGGCCACAGTGACCAGGACCCTAGCTCTGCCGTTGTTTCTGTCTGGATGTGCCGGTATTGGCTTGTGCGCGCTGCATTGCGAATGTAAACCAAGACGCCGACGACGCCCCCCGCGCAGGCCCCCCCGCATCCCCACTCTATCCCCAGATGACACATTAGTCTACCGCCTAGCGTAACAAGGTCCAAAATCCAGATCAGTGACTATTTTACTATCAACTTACTGGCACAAGATTTAAATTTACTATTTATATTAATGTAAATAAGAATGTGTAAATAAATAAATTAAATGCCTATGTACTGGGATATGATTTCTTTATTATTTACCTAGTATGTCTAATCTTGAACTGGCCTACCTAGTATGTCCAATGTGGAAAGAATAAAACTTTCTTATCAATCAATTCTCTATATAATACTCTCAAAGCTGTATACACGCTGTCTGTAGCTTGTATGTATTAAAAATTGCGTGCGTGTAATTTCTTTAAACGTTGCATTACAGCACCAAATGTTTGATTGGTTATATAGCTCTGAAGAAGTAGTCTCCTAATCTTTTAAATATTGTCCATGTCAAGGAAAACACATAGCAATTATCGTGCCGTACGACGATGCCTAACATGCCATTGTAGTGTCATAGAAAATTTGTTCATAGCAACAAATCGAAGCTTTCAAAAAGGGGTCTACAACGAATCATTTTAGTACGACGGATGAATATTATTGGTCTATGACGGCACAAATATTACCTTAATTTACACTTTTAGAAACATTTGAAATTAATAAGGCTGATTCACTTTAAAAGTTCTAAAATGAAACAAGTAAATAATCAATTTAAATATTTATTTCAAGTTTATAATGCGTCTATAACGTTATTAGTACAAAATTTATCAGTTCACAATATCAACCCAATACCTCATTCTTTGGGTCAAGTTGGACACTAAACAACTTTCAGTCTTCATTTAATCGAACATTTTCTCAACACGGATTTGTTCACATATGTATCTAAAGCGAGGATATAGTTTATTAATATTTGTGAGGAAACTATGAAAGACTGCTTTGCCATAAATATATCGAACTCTCTCTGTTACATAAGAATATAATTATTAGAACAAGATAGTTTGCCAGGGTGTCCTGAATTAGATTCTGATGATATTACAGTATTACCATTTTATAAGTAGCATCAGTTTTCGTCTGCGCAGAGTTAGCTAAATCATATTGAATACAAATGTGTTGCTTTATTATTGAAATATAGACTTTAATATGTTATATTATGGTTTTAAATCACTTCCTGAACATATCAACCAAAATTAAAAGATCACAGCTCGCGCGCTACCTCGGAACATTATGATTGGACAGATCTTTCGAGCCTTACAAAAATCGTGTACAAACAGCACTAAATGCTATGATTCCACTAAATGTCAAATTACTGAATATGCTTTTGAACTCAGCCTTAAGTTTTGCTTCTGCCGACACGCTGTTAACAGAACATCGATGTAACTTATAACAATGGTCCTACTGTACATTTACACAAAGACCCGTTTTATTTTTAGGAACTATTTTATAAATGTATTTTTAAAGACGAAGTGGAAATATTAAATTTTACTATAATATAAAATAATCGAAACATGTAAGCTATTAAGTACAAACTAGTCATTTGGAAGCAGCTATATTACGCTTCAATACGCTGTGTGGCTTGACTTATTGTTTTTACATAAAATGTAGTTTCATAGTATCATAAAATGTACCCTTCACATTTTATGCGAATAATAAATTATTCATAAAAAGATAACGTACAATCGACGATACATAAAAAGGTCACACATACTGCATAATAAATAACATATAAAGAAAAACAAATATTAATTATGAAACATAAGAAATAAATTTCCATAAATTCCATTATATTGTTATTTAATTAGTTATATAAAGGGCTGCTGTTTCATACAGTATTAAAATATATTTTTTGGTTGATATCTCGGAGCATCGAAATAAGATGTGATAGGAACATACAGACACTTTTGATATGTCGTCAATTGTACTTTACAACCAAAATTATTCGATTTATCTAAAGTAATATACCCGTCTCGTATGTATATGTTGTTTCGATTACACCATTAGGTTATTAATTTTTTTACAATAAAAAGTAATTTTTTACATGAATTAAATTTACGACACGTTTAGGGTGGTTAAAATCAATAAGTTATTTATATAGAAATAAATATATTCAAAACAATTTGTGTTCTAAGAGAAGTGTGAAGATCTGAGGATTTTTTTTAATGTAAAACAGTGGCGCGACACCAACCCTGCGATAAACATGTCATATAAATTTGAACATTAAATCTTTTTTCTTTTTCTTTTATTATCAATGGCCTATCTGCGCGTTTCGCATGATTCTGCCAATGTCAAGTAATTAAATTAAAATAATTTCTACGTCTGAAAAATATCAATGAAAAAATCTTATGTCGTATAATACATTTTATAACGTCAATATTAAAAGTCAATGATAGCTGTCAACTTCGAGTTTTTTCAATTTGATGTTATGAAATGTATAATTGACATACGACCTAAAGGTCAAATTGAAATGATAAGTCGATCGCTGTGTTGGAACCGTACCTTTTACGTGTGCATAGTAAAACCAAAAAGGAACGCAGATTCAAGCTCTGAGAGAACGATAATATCCTAAATACGTAGGGCTGTCGCTTATAGGTTGTTCAATCATCAGAAATGCATAGTCAAGGGGCGCAGAGCATACGCGGGCACGGCATTACCACGACTGGTACCTTGAGCACCTTTTATATTGATAAATTTCATAAATGCAAAACCTTTTCAACGGTTTAATCGCGTTTGTGTTTTCTTTTATACACCTTAGTCTTATGTGACCACGGAACCTATAAAGGGAAACGTCAATAAAAGAAAATACGACGCAATAAGACCGTTTCAAAGTTGTTTCATTTAGGGATAGTGCAACTGAAAATATAAGAAATTGATTTTCGGTGCGTATGTACGAAGTCAACGTACTCTTTGATTTTACTACGGCTTTAGTTACCTAACATTACTTTTAGAGCAGGTACGGATTATTGCGGGTCCACTGTAGTAGTTATTATACAATTTTTGGTTAGCTCGAGAAACATACATGTCTTTATCACATTAAAAAATATAACATTCCTTTAAAAATCGCTAAATATACACATGCGATGGCTAATATATACTTTCCGTAGAGTTAAAAACGAAATGGTAACTTAAAATGAATCGTTAGATTAACGCGAAATCAACTTTTATTTTTAAATATCAACAAGGTAATTAAAAAAACGACAATGCTTTAAAAAACTGTCATAAGAAAATACTTAACCATACAAAGCTCATACGATAACGGAGCGATAAAATAGAAAAAAAAACACAATCAGTGACAATGGAACGGAATCTTTGTTGCGTAAAAAAACATTAAAAAAATAAATATCTTCGACTATACAATAAGAAAAAACTCGGCATCTATCGAGGAGTTTTTTTTTTATAAATAAAAGATTCTATTCCACATCACTTAAAACACCCACGCTTCGAAGTGGATTAGGTAAACGTAAATCGATTGAAAAGAACCCTTCAAAGGAGGCGAAAAATTCTTTATATAAAAACTAGTGATGTGCCAGATCGTTAAAAATGTATATCCGCGGATAGGGAACCAAATTAAGATGTTTAGTGTCAAGACCCGCGGATAGGGATCCAAATAAGGATGTTTAGTGTCAAGATACGCGGATACGGATCTATATTAGCGCGTGAACAGGGTGGAAAATAAATAAAATCACATCAAACAATCAGTTGTGGACAAAATTTGAAGCGTAATAAATCTGATGAATTTTTTATTTTATAAAAGAATCACCACTTCGAAGCAAAGTTGATATTCAATCAATTAACTAAATCATATCTATTGATAACTCAAAAAAAAATGCACATAATTAATAACTATATCAGGATAAATATATCTAAATCAGTTGTCATTAGGCCATGTTGTCTGTTTAATATAAGTCTCACTGATAGGTCTTTAGTATACGTCTAAATAAGCTTACGCTACGCCACTGCAGTTAATAGCTGGCATAAAAGAACTAGTCACAAAACTAAATTGAGCGTATACTTTATACCGGATTTCGATTTTACCAAATGATAAAAAATTGAGTTTTTTAATGAAAAATATTCAAAAGTTACTGTCAATATATTTCTATTTATTAATAAAAATGGATTACGTATCCGAGAATTTCGGTTTATTACAAATAGACAACCATATGGTATATAAATATTACGATATCAACGCATCTTGCAGCTGCCGAATTTCAGTAGTATAAAATTTAAATATCGTCCGTCTGTAACTACCAATACAGAAATCAATATTAAACTATATTATCTCTCGTTCGAGTCAGTCAATTTGTTATGTGAAAATCAATTATCATTTTCAGTTTGAAAGTAGATTTTTACTTTTTTTTTCATTACTATATCAAGACAACTCATAATTGCTTAAGCTTTTTGCATTATAAATATTTGAGTTGAAATAAATATAATTAACACACTATTTAGATAACCTACTAAAGATACGGAGTAGTTTTAATACAACACGCTGTGATTCTTTATAAATTCGCTAAGTCTATCGCCAAGAAAACAAAAATATACGTCAGTAGTCTTAATACATGGACAATGTACTTCTTCGTGAACTAAATCATACGTTGGTCCAAAATACTACGTTTCAATCGACATAATACGTTACACATTCTATAATCTATTCATAGTGCAGACAAAATACGGGACAATGTTTCAAAGTATTGAAAGTTTTAAAATAATACGATATTAATCGCCAGTCATAGAACTCTGATCATCACCATTAAATACTTCGTTTTGTTTTATACGCATATTGTATTGTATGGGTCGCCGGCTTCGTGGAAACAATACATAGCCCTATGGCTAGCGATACATATCGTAAACTTTCAATGCTCACAAAATACTTTGGATCATTGTCCGTTTTTTCGCCTGTCCTTGCAACAAGCTATAGTGAATACAGTCCCATTAGATATCATGCAAAAATATACTCTAATACATTATAAAAAACTACTAGTCCTGTAACACTTAGTAATTCAAAGGCGACGATATTCACTATATCGATTTATATTAACTATGAAATCCTACCATATCTTTTCTACTATACAGATCAACGCTTAAAACAGCTTTTGCAGTGATGCTATAGGCTGTAGTTGAGGCGTTTTTAATGTTATCACAATTAATTGCAATGACATTTACTAAAAAAAATGTAAATATAAAAATGATTGATAAAGAAATGATAAATGATTCAACTTTCCGGTAGAATTATTCATAACTGATGCAATAGAAATTAATAAAGACACATAGACGTATTTATTAAAAATTAAATGAAACAAAACAGTGAAAAAAGGTTGATATATGTTGTCTGCGTTCATGGTTTGTTTTATTCCCTATTTCGATCTTGTATTTGTACAAAGTCCTCTGAGCGGAGTAAGCAGACTTATAATATAGTAATCATAAATAATATGGTACAGATATTGGACAAGTATAAAGCAACCGGATACTGGCTGAATCATTGAAGAGTCACAAGCTAGATCTGAATTGAACACCCAAACTGAGTTAATGATATCACAACTGTACCACTGCAATCGCTGTCTATCAAGTGAACCCAATAGAACAACTGAGAAATTCGTATTCGTTTTCACAATAGCTCATTATCACAACCTTTACAAGCAAAAAAAAATGATCTTTTATTTTTAATCAAAATAATTGGCATCTGCATTCCTAAAAAAATTTAATTGATTTGATGTAAATAACAAATTACTATTTTGATACAACCAAATATTATGCAGCAATAGCCTTTTCTTCTTCAACCGCAGTATTATTATATAGTTTCATTTATTAATAACAAACAATACAACATTCCTTAATACACTGATTAATAAGAATCCTAATAATTTCTAATGCGAATACTGTGGGTCTGTATAAAGGCGCAATAGAACTGTCAATTCACCCGTATTATTTTATTCGATATAATTTACAAGTCATTTATCCTATATAGTTGTTAGAGGATTTATCACACTGAAAGTATATGACGTTGGAATGTTATTAACAAATTATTGCTTAGAATGGATCGCATATTTCAATTGGCCAGCAGATGACGCTAATCTTGTGCTAATAATGAATCACACATACAAAACTCAAGCAGTATGACATATCCTTAACGTTAGATCAGTAATCGTCATTGCGCCTTCATAACAAAACAAATGCAAAAGCGTTCGCATAGGAAATGTGCATGTTCATATTATTTTTCTCTTTCTTCACTAAACATTTGTCATTTTCTACTTTAATGACATATAAATAAAGGCAGTCTTGTATAGTGAACATGCACATATAGACTAGAAATAATCATAGAACCACTTGAGACATCTGAGTCGTCAAACGGAAACGTTTATTTTCTAATTCAACGTTGGTGTCTAGACCACGTTTCACAGCCATACTCGTAGAAGGTTGGACGTTATCTAAACTAGCCTCTACTAATCTACGAGACCTGCAATACCTGTAATCAGCTGGATTGTTCACCCTCTGGCATCTCATATCGACAGCTGTTGGTAATTGATAGTATTGCTGGACGTCTACGTTCGGTTCTGGATTGGTATCGGTCACGTCTAGGACTGAATAAGCGTTGTCCGGTCTGTTCTCGATTGGACGTTGACGGTAATCGTAGTTGTGTGATCTGGATGAGGTGCTGCAAGTGCTGGACGCCGGTGATATTTGATACCTTGAAAGAATTGTTTCGAAATAAGGCTTGAGCAGAAATTATGAGGTTAATTATCGTGTTATGGGAATTTTATAATTAAACAATGGTTACTATGGTACACGATAAATGGTTACATGATTTCTGCGTAACTTTCACCGTTTACACAGCGCACGTAAGGAAAGCTTTAAAAAAGTAAAATATTATCCCGAATTTGCAATATTTTTCATTGCTGCTCCACTCCTAAAAGTCATAGCATTGTGTTCTATAGCCTCCCTCAATAAATGGACTATTTAACACAAACAAAATAATTCAATTTGTTCTTGTAGTTACCGAGATTATAGAGTACAAACAAACAAACTCTTCAGCTTTAACATTAGTATAGATAAATAAAATTATTGAATATAACAGATTTTAATTATTCAATTTAACATTTTCAATGTTATACTGAACAATATTCTCAGTGAAAAATGCTTAAAAAAACCACATTGTTCGAATCATAACGATCGATGCACATTGTTATATAGAATACATACCCAGGAGAAGCATTCGGAGTCAGATTCGGGGAAGTCCTAGCGCTGCTATATCCTTGATCAGCTTCCGAATCGACGTTGGTCTCACGCGACTTCAGTATCTGCATCATCCTGGAATAATATATAATATATAAGCATAAATACTGATTTAAACCGTATTACGAGGGTATAGTAGTCAAAGTTTAAATCAGGAGTTCGCTTCGTTGGTATAACCAGACGGGACATCAGACCGTAGCGGGATGTCAACCGAATTGCATGTTTGCAGTCTTTTCGGCCTTTGATCATCATGAGTTCATACCATAATATAAATAAATAAATAACGTCACATAAATTGCTCAGACTCTAAATTAAGGTAGCTTGAAACAACTTTTAAACGGTTTCATCTCTTTGTATTTAGTTTTATTGACGTTTCAACCCCTTTACAAGTTCCGTGTTCACAGAAGACTAAGGTGTTGATTGTCTTTTTAATTAAGATTATAGCTACTTCAAAACAATACGATTGGATACATTTACTAAGAACTGGCGAAACAAACTCTGACAAGAAAAGTGAATTGTTCCCTTTGATTTAATATTTACAGAATAAACTAACTGTATACTTTGGTTTTGCAATGTGAGATCTGGATTGAGATTTTTTTTACTAATTACTGGATCCCAAGGCGGTGGTATATGCCTACCTACATCTCTATTAAAATTCGGATGTTTTTTTAATTTCAATAGAAAATTTAAGAAATCATTTTTTTTTTTTCTAATATTTGCGTGATGAAATCTTAAGTCTACAAAGGTGGATGAGGCAAGATAATGACAATAGATGTAGAAACGTTATATTGACCCAATAAAGCATCGAACAGTCCTTTTAAAAAAACTGAACTGAGAAAACGCACAAACGTAGTGAAAGAAATTAAGTTATGACTTTTGAAAATGTTTAAATATTTGAAGGGTCACTTTATTTATATATGAAGGTTGTCTGGCGACAAGCGCGACGCTGGTAGAGTGACATATAAATAAACACTAAAAAATCACGTTGATGAATATCTGATTGAGTGTATACACTCATGACAAGTGTAGTTTATAAACTATTTGGGATATAGTAAATTAAAACAAGTATTCACGGTGGCTTGTATATTGCGAATGAATGTGGTACACAGGTCCTACCTTATTATATACAATATTAATAATTATCAGATTACCTACATTACTACAGTTTAGTACAAGAGAAATTAAGTTTATGATAACTTTGTATGGCGCCCTTCCTCTATCCCCCTTCCCCACGCGCCATTGAGGCCGACGATGTTATATTAGCATATTTTTAGTGTATAATGATTTCTTTTATTTCAATTAGGTATTTTGAAGCTTTACCGTCTTGTTACTACGAGGCTACTGCCTATAATGTATATGAAAAGATTTGTGAAGCTCGTTCTTTGTTTTATATAAAGTTTATTTTGGCACCCCCCCTGACACTGGCGCCAGGGGCAAGTGCCCCCACTGCCCTACCCTCTCTCCCCTACATCAGAGCCTGGTCGGTAAACATCTGATCTGATTATATCTGATAATTGTTAATTTTAAAATTAAAAATATTTAATTGTTGCTATTATTTTATTGAAATAATTTATTTGTCTTCATGCATTATTTAATCTTATTTGATGATTTTAATCATATTAATGTAAAGCTTGTGAGTTTATAAACTGGACAATTACTTTATATATGCTCCTCTATATGTGCTTCATCCATGATGCTATATGTGCTCCTCCTTATTTTATTTTATATTATTTAGTTTGTTTATTTATTGAATTCCGGTATCCGCTGAAAATCAGCGCCATAGCTTAAACACTGCGGCATATTGCTGAGCGGAGACCTTTTTAGTACCTAATTTTGAATTTTCTATTATCATACTATTAACGTTATGTACTTCTAATTTGGCGTTAAATAAATACTTTTCTATTCTATTCTATTCTGATTGAATGTATTGTATATACCTCTGCAATAGTCGTGCGATGGGCGCGACGCTGGTGGGCTTCCTACCGGCTGCAGTCGCCAGCCAAACGGGCCACGCGCATAGGCCGAGGTCTGCGCGCGCACACGCCACGCACGCGCAACCCACGTCCACAGAGTCCACCACCTTCAGCCGCACGTCTGCTCAACAATGCATATTTATCAGGCCGGTCGTGACATTTAGATCCGGCGGACTCCTTGCCGGATCCCGGGCCCTCCCACCCCGGGGGGTATTCGTAGCGGGTTTTACCACGTAGGCCTTAGTTAAGTTCCGGGGTGAAAATTATCATTGATAATTATCTTGACAAATATACCTTGATAATGATGGTGATTATAAAACACTACATAAACTTTTTAGGACTTGTTATTAAAAGAGGAATCACCTTTAAACAAGTATCAATTAAGGTTTTTTCTGGTAGACAAAATTATCTAGGGTGGACCTACAAAATAAAAAATAAAAAATTTAAAAGCCTTCTATTTCTCAAAAAATATTTTAATTCAATGTGACTTCATAGTTCCTTTTTATGTTTATTTGTATTATATAATTTAAAATGACAAAAGTAAAGGTTTGTTCAATTATGTATTTGGGTATATAAAAAGGGCGTGACGTAACGCGCTGTTTGCGGTAACGTGACAATGAGTATAAAATATTTATTTCTTCTTAATTAGTTCAAGCAACATTATAAAATTAATAAGCATAAAAATGTGATTATAGGTAATAGTATATAAAACACTACCAAGAAAAAAATTTGATGTAAAAAATTAATTAAATTTTAATTTACCTTTGTTTACGTTAATAACTCTACGCGCATATCGAAAGTAGCATCATAAAGCGTAATTCTACAGTCACGATAGTACAATCAAAACTTGAAAAATGTTCTTTATGACAGAATTGTATAATGTATTTTCTATATAATATTTAAATGTCAAGTAATAAAGAACGCAAGAAAATCACGTTCATTCTATGGCATCCTAAAACATTTATTATTTTTAGTACTTCTTGTTAAAGCGGCAACAGAAATACATCATCTGTGAACATTTGAACTGTCTAGCTATCATGGCCCTTAAGATAATACCTGATGACAGTCGGTGCTCTGGATATAAGCAAATACATCTATCTATGCATTATGTTACTTATAATTTGTTCATTGAAGTAAGATTCTTAACAGATGGCGATCGTGTGATATCGATAAATCAATCTAATAGTTTGTATAAATTTAAACATTTCAATAAATGGTCGTCTTTTAACATTTACGTTAAATTGTTATTTATTACCTTGTTTACAGGACATTTTGTATCACTAATATAAATCATATAATTAGAGGAATTACAGACAGTAATTATCAATATTATCCAGGTGTTGAGAACCTTTGTAGCCCAGTTATTGAAAAATTTATCTCATATTTTCAAAACTATATCATGTCTATTAACAGTAAGAATATCAGTAAAATACTAAGCTTACCAGACAATGTTAAGTCCAAATAAGCTTCCAGCAGTTTAGCACCGTCTCGTTTGAAACGTCTCACGAACTTCGGATGCCTAGTTGTGAGGTCAGCGTCAGTGACCACATACTGAGCTAGAAGTGCTGCGAAGCTCACGGGGGTTGGTGCTAACAGCCTCCAACGGACATGTTGACCGACCATCCACTCCAATTGTCTGAAAGTCTTGCCGCATAGTTGAACGCCACTTATTTTGGCTAAAGTCTTCAGAGTGGGAGCTCGGCTGGCTTTCTCTTCGCTCTTTGCTGTATTTAAAAAGTAAAATCTTATTTTTAAAGTTTTGTGATTTCACACAATTACATGTAATGCTTTAGGTTAGAAATAGAAAAAACATATAACTTATATGTAAACTTTCTAAAGAATAAATGAACAGATTAAGCTTAATTTTCATTCCAACATAAAAACCAGATTGAAAATGTAAAAAATGCAAAAATGACTTCTCCAGCAAGCCAATTCTGCTAATGTTTACAAAATCATCGCACCTCATTAGTATCTCAAAAGATTTGCATTTTACAATGGTACTATGTATTTACCTAAAGTCCAATATTATTAGTGCATTGTTTTCCTCACATATCAATGGTGAGATCAATAATAATATTGGACTTCAAGTAGATAGTACAATGTGCTTATAAATGAGGTTTTTCAAAAAGTCCGCGGGCAACATTAATATCGCAGATATATCGAAATTGTATCACTACTTTAGTTTAGTACTAAAATTATTTTTAAGTATGAATAATTAAAAATAATCAATTATTTTTGTTTATGGTTTATATCTCAGAAACGTTAAGGTTGGTTTTAGTATCACGCTGCCGTTGGCACTGACAAGTCAATATGTATGGGCTTTATAGAAGCATAGAATGCGGTTACGCCGACCGCTCAGCGTTGAGTTGTGCGCGGCCGTACGCATTGCGCGTCGGCGCCTTTGAGCGTTCAGCGCTGATTATCGCACGCGCGCCTCTGCCTTCAGCGAGCGTTCCAGCGTTCCAGTGTCGAGCCGAGCGAACGCCGTCAGCGTCTACATTCATGTGAAATAGCAATGAACACAGGAGAAAGTGTGAAAATGCATCCAATCCACTCTACAAAAATAAAGATGCCAAAAACAAGTGCTGCTGCATCATGGTCACTGATCGCTAACTTTGCCATTAATTAAAGCACTGCCATTATTTAATTAACACTGTTTCTAACAGTGTCAATTGGTTAAACGATGTCCCAAATGCCCACTAGCAATCTTTGAGCAAAAGTGGATGAATATGCTGTGGTCATCTTTTTTGTTGTTGCTTCTTTCTTTTTGGATAAATAATACACTGCAGCAGTTTGAACACTCACAGGATTGACCATGTCTGTGCTGGGCAGTGAACAGCACAACATTGATACGAGTATGCGCTGGTAGGTTTGTTCTGATAGCTATGCGCGTAGACGTCAGTGCGGACAGTTCGCGTTACACCAAAACCAGCCTAATATTGTATAACATGTCATTAGTAAAGTATATCAGTTATTGTTTCTGCTATTTTGACATAAGCTAATTGATAAGATAGTAAAGATTCTCATTATATTTATTTTATTGAAGTTGTTTACGTTAAACAATACCAAATACTCACCCGCTAGACTTAGGCAGGCAAGCGCAACGTGAGTCAGCCGGTCTGCTCTGAGTCTGTGTGCATCCATAAACAAGTCCAACTGTGCCACAGCCGCATGCAGGGTAGCGATACTCAAGCCAAGCTTCTTTGTCACATCACGGAGTTGCTGCACTAGTGTTCCACGGAATTCCAACTGCAAATAAATAATAGAGGAATATTTTGTACCATATACCAAAAGAATATTTATATTTAATTTTTTGGGGTTCTAAACTCCTATAAAATCACTCAGTTGTTTACTTGTCTATACCTAGCTTAAATATCCGAACTGCATATTATTGGAAAAGGTTTGTTTTCCATTATATTTTAAGATTAAGATTATTAAATCAACTTAAAATAAGTTATATTTAATAAAATAGTCTTTCTAAGGTGTCATTAAAATAAATTATATTCTAAGATCAAAATAACACATAATTTTGTGTAATCAAAAAGAGAAATACTCTCTTGGAAAGTAGAGATATTGCAGGTGTTTGGATAGGTTGAAATGTATAATAACTGAAATTATAATTTATTTCAATTATATTATATTTTCTTGTGTTATGACATATTTTATTTAAAATACAAATGTCTGTAAGATTCAATAACTATGAGTAAATAAAGAAACCAGTTCAAGGGCTACCTACATATAACATGCTTCATAAAACAAACATTAATTTATCTGCTTACTATAAAAGAAAACCCATGTAATTTATTTTCCCCATGATTTTGCATAAGAAACAAACACAATTGCATCATTATCAATTGCAATGATGAAATATTACATAAAGATTTCATACATATTTCATCACATTTCTAACTAACAATCAATATATGTTAAAGTTTAAAATATACTCTATGTCTCTGTATTTAAGGGTTGTTACAACATGACATGTTTGTATTTAGATAATAGTGCCAAGTTTGTTGTACAAATCTTGAAACTAAACTAAAAATTATCACATGTTAATTAAATTCAGTTTAAGACTATTTTGTTACTTTAAACATAGTTTCAGAATTGTATTTTACAGAATTAAATATAATTTTACACAATCTTCCATTCCAAAAAAGTTATTTTTTTCTACTATAAGTAGAATGTAGAGCCATTAAAATCAAGTAAATACAGTAATTTTATTCTTAATAAAATTTATTTTAAAGTTATTTAATTTTACATTTCTATTAATATTGATGTGATGGTTAAACCCATTATAAACTCATAAGTTGAAAATAATGACTGTACTCTATTGCCAAGGAGAATGTATTTCACAATAACAACACATGAAGGAATCATCTCTTAAAAAAGTAGTTTTATTAGATCCCAAACATCATTGATATTTGAAAAAATAATTTAATATTTGAATTAAAATTACATAAATACCTGTGGTGATTGTAAGTGTATGGTGGGTTTTTCGGCTTCCTGTGCCAGCAGGTTTTGCCAAATATCATCTCTGTATTCACAATTATATTCATGATCAGGATCTGTTAATGTCTGTAATAAAATAATATTAAGTTAAATCTTATTTACCTACATAAAGTTTTATGAACAAATTGTCACAAAAATAGCTATAAAATACCTTACAATATGAAACTAATTACGAAACTATGTTAAAAAACATATTTTTTTTTTCATTTTAACTGGTCAATCAAAAAATATTAATTTTGTGTCCTACTATAAATTTAGATACAAGATATACTTTAATTCATTTTTCTGAAAAAATGCGTATAAAACAGATGCATTGCAACTTACAATTGATTCCAGTTTCACTTCGTATGGCTCTTTATTTGTTCCATTCTCCTGGGAAGTACTCCCTCTAACGCTGGATAAGTTGAGCTTGGACATGTTTAAGGACTCCATGTCTCCGTGGAATGCGGTCGAGGACTTTTAATTGCCACTACAAGGTTTTTACTATAACACGTAGACTAAATTCTGACGGTCACCACGTGGAAACAAACGTCAAAGAATGTTCCCGTCGAATTCCGAGACAATTGTTTTATTACAGACACAAATGATTACTCTAAACGCTACCATCACTCTTTGTCTTCTGTAAAAACATAAGAGCACAGAAAAAATCGTACAAAATTAACTCGTTTAATCCAATATTCCATCACATGAAGCAACGCTCATAACCAGACCAGACAAGACATTTTTTTGACTGACTGCACTTGAATTTTTGGTAATTAATCATGGACGTACTAATATCGCAGGACTCATAACTTTGAAAAATCATCATTACGAAAATAAACTTTAATACAATGTGTTAAAATGAATTTTTCCTTCTACAGAAGCTAATCGGGGCCGAGAGAGAAAGTCACAACAGAGGTCATACATCCCGTTCTTTCGTCTTGCCATTATATAAAAATATAACTACAAACTTTTATCTATAAATACAAATGTTTCCAAGATTTATATATTAATGGCAACTTTTTAAAAAGTTTTATTTCGTTAAAATTCAATTACCCCAAAAAGATGAATAAAAATAACAACATTGTAAATCTATCTTTGTTTACCACTAAACTCCATTAATTATAGCATTATTAAGTTAAATAAGGTTCTTTTTATGGTATACTTTGTGACAAAATGTCAACAATCATGTTACTCTTAAGACTAACGGCTAATTTGCTACATATCCACTTAAATACCAGCTGCTATACTTAACCGTTGTCTTTTAAGCTATATATTAAACAAATTTATGAGTATTTGACTGACTTAAAACATTGAATAATTATTACAATAAAAAGTGTTCATCTTAAAGAACCTAAAGAAGCAGGGTTAGATAGTTTCGGCACGATTCTCATGTCACTATAACTCTACCAAATTTAAAACGTTGTCTAATCCCTTCAAACGTTTCGGCAGTACAGCTTTTTAATTTTGTCAGATTATGATTTATTCATAATAGTCAAAATACGTAATCTGGGATTGTCATTCATTGTAAATGCTACTGCCTTTCTTGTTGTTTTGCCAATTTCGGTGATTGAGTAATTACTGTTTTATTGTTGTATTTTTATACTTTTGTTTTAGTTGTTATCTTTTTGTTGTTAAGTTTTGCTAAATTGCGATTCCGGTGCAGGCCCGAGTGGCCTACAACAATTACCTTTGACATTTCAGCAAGTTTTTCCAATGTCTTAATCAATAGTCTAATAATATCTGGATAAATGTTATAACAGTAATAATAGATAAAAATTTCATTTTGTTTACCTTTATTTTCTGGGCATAGATATAACTAAATTATATTCTAATTATATACACTTACAAATTAGAATTAGTAAAAGTAAAAGATGAACTTAGAAAATGCTAGTCTCATCTCAACCCTAAAATCTAAATCTAAAGTTCAAAATTTCAACAAAACTATTATAAATATTTTTTAAATTTATCTTGTAAATAAAATGTTCTGCACTGCTGCTTCTGAGATCCTCTTTTTTCTAATCTTATAATGAATGGAGTATAGGTCTTATAATATGTGGATAATGTGAATGTAGAATTTATAGTAAAGTATTAATACAGTTTTCAAAAAAATTAAGAAATACTACAAAAATATGTCAGCAATTAGGGGCAGATACGTGAAACAGAAATGAGGAAGTATTTTTTTATTTCTTTTTATTAACAATGGACTCACTCTTGACCTCAATCTAGTCCAAGAACATAGTTGAGATCTACGGTGGGACGAGCTTACCTAGAAGGAACCTATTTACTCTTGCCCTAAATAGGTCTGGGTTATATGTATTAAAACAATTAGTTCCCGAAATCAAACTAGATGTCGCTACGATACGTTCTTGATTTCTCCATGACAACCCTTCCGGTTTTCTGTCATGTTTAAAAGTAAATTAGTTTTCAAAACTTAATAAACAACTCATATTCTATTTATACTTTTTCGTATTTGTATTGATATCTAAGTTTCGAATTTTTCAAATTTTAGTTTTTTAATATGTTATTTAAAAGAAACGGAAATGACTGTCTTTGGTCCATTCGTTTCCTGCAAAAATCAACTTTTGTTAGAGTCACCATCTAGTGGAGGCGCTTTTTTTAGTGCTTTCTTTTTTTTAATACTTCCTCATTAAAGTTGTATACAGTCGTCGGAAACAAGTGAGCGCATTCGACGAATCGAGGTAAGCGAATGAGCTGAGTGAATGAGTAAACCGATTCATTGCTAATAGATAGTTTGAATGCGGTAGAAAGAGACACAATCTAGTACATTACGTTAAGTGGGGAGTGCTCCGCATTTGCGCTTTTGTATTCTTTTGTTCTCACAAGCTATGTTGTGCGAACTACAAATGTGGCAACATCGCGCGTATTGGTATTTTGCAACTTTGGACATCCGATGTCATTGATGTAAGTTTGGCAACGTCGTGCGTGCAGTAGTTTAAATAATCACGGGATTTTTTCTGCTCTTTAAAATTAATCTCGGGATTGAGGCATATCCACTTTATTCTTTCGCTGTATGAAATCAGTGTAAGTACAGTCGGCCAAGAAAGTGTTCTACCACCCTAAGGTTGAATTTCGCGTGTCACGTCAACTAACAACAAGGTTGATTTTCCGTAGCATTAATTTTTTGACACGTCAAGTACACGTCATTATTGCTATCTTCATCATTTTGACGTAACCTTTGACAGTAATTATCTATATCTTTAATAAAAATGTAACAAGGTTACATTTGTAAGATATTTTGGAAAAAAAATATATGGACGGCCTTCATACGACTAATAGAAGCCAAAAATATTTTTTTTTGTCTGTCTGTTTGTATGTTTAAATACTTTAGAGTTAGAATATCGTAAATAAAGTCTTATAGTCTACAAATATAATACATTAGAATGTAGATTAATTATATTTTAACACAAATTAAAAAAAATCAGTAGGTAGTGAAATGCTATGCGTAAGAATCTATGCGTGTTATAGGTCTGAATATACTGAGATAACGGATAACAGAAATGAATAGCGACGAAAAACACATTGCGCCGACCCATAGCTTAGTGCGAGACAAGGGCTAAAACTAGAAGAGATAGTGAAAATGCTAATTCTTTGGTTGTTAAAAAATATATACAATTCTTTTATAGCATTATAATTCTTAAAATCTTGTGTAGCCGCCATCTGCCTCTATAACAGCTTGGAGACGTTCCCTCATCGAGCCCACCAGTCTTGAGCAGATATCAGACCCACGTGTTTCCTCCCAAACCTCATTGCAGTGCCCTTGTAGTGCTTCTGCTGTTCGTTCATTACGGTTACACCATCTCTGAACCATAAGACCCCACATATTTTCAATAGGGTTGAGATCTGGCGATTTTGTAGGCCATGGTATCAAGTTTATTTCCGGATGTGCATCAAACCAAGCACGTGTTACCCTTGCTTTATGTAAGGGACAGTTATCCTGTAAATAATTAAATTGACGCATTTCATTTTCTGGATAAACGTTCCGGACGGATGGCAACATAGCATTTTGGAGAACATCAACATAATCTGATGCCGTTGCTCGTGGTGGCAAAAAGGTCAAGTCTCCAACACCATCAGCAGTCATCCATCTATACAAATTTACCGAGATACGACCCGATTCTCTATTTGGCACGACATGATTCTATGGCGAAATTTAATCTGGCTATTCTATGAGCGTCAGTCATATAAATTTTCTTTGCATAACGCCTGTGATGTAAGCCCATGTAATGTAAATGGTTTCTAATGGTTTGGAGAGTCACGTCAAATATGTCGGCAAAATAACGCGTTGGTATAAAGCCAGATTCCTCATAACTCCGTCTCATGAAGACTCGCTGAGTATCTTTTATTTCAGGTCTACGACCACTACGACTCCGAGCGTTCAAATTCCCCTCCTCGCTTTCTCGTCTTATCCAAAGACGGACAGCTTGTCTCTATAATCAAAAATAAAATATGAACAGAAAAAATAAAAATAAATTTTTACACTCGGACTTGGTCTGAGATTTTACATTAAACTCACGTCAGACATAATAATACTTACCGACACATTTAATTCTCTCGAAATCTCACTAATATTCAAACCATCATTGTGTAATGCGATTATTTGTGCTCTTTCGTTGATGGATAAATTTCGGGGCATTGTAGTGTAAATTAATTAGGAAAATACCTACGGAAAATGCCGAGAAAATATTTGACATGAATTGTCAAGTGATATATTCTTTTTCAGTAAAAGAGTTTTCGTAACAAAATAGTTTCCACTTTGAAGTGACCTACTTAAATTTTAAATTTATGAAATATTGTGAAGACTATTTGTTGTTGCAAATTATTATCTAATGCATAGGCTGCAAAGGTCAAAATAAGATTTGTGCTCTACGACAACACGTCAGCATTGTGCATCTCTTTTATTGTTTGTATGCAATTCTAAGATTCGCCTTTAGCGATGCTTTAACGACACGGGAAATGTTGTCAAAACTGGTAGACCACTTTCTTGGCCGACCGTACGTGAATAACTCTACCTAATTCCGACCACTGGTAATAACCAAAGTACCTTATCAAAAGCTAGGCTGTGGACAAAGATCCCTCTGCGTTTGTTTTAATTTACTGCAATTTTTTTTTTTAATGAGTTTTACGGCTGTGCGTACTAGTATTTCTAGGTCCATACCATTTTTTTTTAACTAAATTTTTTAATATGGGGGACTTTCATGCCTGAAACTTTGATGAAAGATAAAGATTTGAGTCTAGATGCTATAATAGTTATCTTTATAGTGGTTAGATTTTTTCGAAATAAAGTACCAAAGAAAACATTTTCCTTTGTTTAAATATTATTTAAAGGGAAAAACGCTGCGAACAGGACCATGGCAACATATGCTGTCCCTTTCATACGACTGCCAGTAGTAATAAAACGAAACAAATAGTAGTTTTTAAAATAATCTGGGAACCACTTTATTGAAGCGTTCTACCTTTAATTATAGTATTATGTATAAATTAGGATAGATGAAAATAAAAATAGAAATGAAACTAAAAATCTGTATTGCGGCATTACCAGATAACATATGAATGAAACACTGGCTTCTGAATTTATGAAACTTGTGTCTCAGAAGCCAGTTCCTTCCTTAAATTATAAATTTTGTTGGTATTGTTGAGTTGATCAGTGAACTAACAATTTATTAATAAAAAACAATAAAAATAATAAATATGTACACAAAATAATGTTACATCTACGAATGAAATTAGCGTGTCACTATTATGTGTATGTGTGCGTGTGTGTTTTAGTATGTGTATGTGTTTTTGTGTGGGTGTGTGTTAACACATTAGATAAACCAGGTTTTGAACTCAGTATGTATGGTTTAACTTTTGATCATATATATTTTTTTAAATATTGATATTTTTTAAGTATGAAAGCAATGAGGAAGTATAAAAAAAAATTTAGTTCCTGAAATCAAACTAGATGTCACTACGGTACTTTCTTTATTTCTCCATGAGAACCCTTCCGCTTTTCTTTCATGTGTAAAAGTAAATTAATTATCAAAACTCAATAAACAACTCGTATTCTATTTGTACTTTTTCATATTTGTATTTAAATCTAAGTTTTGAACTTTGCAAATTTCAATTTTTAATATGTTATTTAAAAGGAACGGAAATGACTATCTTTGGTTCATTCGTTTCCTGCAAAAAACCAACTTTTGCTAGAGTCGCCATCTAGCGAGGCGCTTTTTTAATGCTTTCTTTTTTCTTAAAACCTTCCTCATTCGTTGTAATAATTTACTATACATGCATGACACTGGTGAGAACTATGGTAGTGCGATGTATGGCGACTGTGGAAATATCACTTTTGAAGTAAGTTTTAGATTTGTTTACAAAATATTTAGTATAGGCTGACAACACCAACACAATATTTGTTTTTTTTTTACAGGGTTGAGAATAAAATCATAGGAATATATAATAATGTACTTAATAAAAAACATAATAAACAGTCCTTAAATTCGTAGTTTATTCGTATTGCCTTGCATTGGTAGTTTAAATAATCTTCGGGTTAGATTTCACGTCGTTTCGAATTGATAGTACATTTTTAGTATGTTTTAATAGAGGAGATCACGGACAGCTCCACTCGTATTTTTTGCCGAAGATGCGTATTTGTTTTTGTGATGTTTTAAGATGTGATATTGAGTTTGTGGAATCTCCACAGTAACTGTAATTCCGATGCAAACTCGCCGAAATGTAACCGATAGACCAGCAACTTTGCGGGGATGCTCAAGACTTTGTACTCTCTTTTTTCAAAGAGCGTCGCTTCCAATAAGCCTCTTGGCGCGCCTCTCGATGGTCTCCAACGCTTCAAGCTGGTATTTGGCAGAATCATCCCAAAGGTGCGAGCAGTACTCCATGCAGGACCGCACTTGCGCTTGATATAGTATAGGCAGCTGTTCTAGCGTGAAGTACCTTCGCACCTTCGAGAGGATACCACGCTTCTTCGCAGCAAGCTGAGCTTTAGACTCTATGAATGAGCCAAAATTCGGCGTTGAAGATAAAGTCACACCAAGAAAGTCAAGGTGGTCCGTGAATGCGGGGGGCAGCTCAAACGGCCTCCTTTTGGAGGAGAAAAGACCCGCCTGTGTCTTGGTGGCGTTGAACCTTACCAGATTGGCATCACCCCAATCGGACACTGCCTGGAAGATTCAGACGCTCAACCATTTCTTCTCTGCAAGACTGGATTTCAGCCGGGCTCACTCTCGGAATGGACATGTACCTCTCCATGACGGTGCTGTCGTCTGCATACCCAAACATACCGGGTTTCAACAGATCGTTTATATGCAGCAAAAATAAGGTCGCAGAGAGCACGGATCCCTGAGGAACACCGGCATTTATGGCCTATTGGTCCGACGAGTAGCCGTCAACAACCACTCGTAGGGATCTGTCCATTACGAAGTCCGATATCCAGTCACATAAGCTAGGTGGCAGTCCAAACGATGGACGCTTGCTAATAAGGCCGTCATGCCAAACATTGTCGAATGCCTTAGAGATGTCCAGAGAAACAGCTAGTGCCTCCCCGTATTTCTCGATGGCCTCACTACAGATATGTGTGGCGTACACTAGAAGATCTCCCATGAACCGATTTTGACGAAATCCGTATTGACAGTCACGAAGGAGATCATTGGATTCTAGGTACGCCATGAGCCTGCCGTTTAGGACACGCTCCATGCTCTTGCAGAGTATGGAGGTGACAGATATGGGCCTGTAGTTGGCAGAGTCAATACGACTGCCCTTTTTGTGCATGGGTTGCACGTTAGCAAGCTTCCACGATTTCGGCACAATACCAGTTGCTAGAGACAGAAAAATTTGTCGTGTCTTCCAGGATCGGTAGCGAGCGAACAACTTTTTAGTGGCGCTGGCCTAATCTTCGACTCGTTAAGAAATAGATTGGACGGAGACAAAGCTTCAAAGCTTTTGTTCGTAAATATACTTTATGCTACTTTACACTATTTTTGGAGTCAGTTCATTTAATTTTATTTGTTTTAAAGCTTTCGTTCATTGAATATAATGTAATATGCTACTTTGGGTTTAAATTCATTTATTTTAATTTCTTGTTTATTTGGAAATATGTCAATAATTTTTCATTGTTTGTGTTTCATTTTATAATTAATTAAAAAATAAAAATTAGTTCTTGAAATCATACTAGATGTCACTCGCGATTTTTGGATTTTGTTTATGATATTCATTCAAATTTTATTTCTGACGTAATAAATATAAATTAAGTATTTTCGATTAATAAATATGACATCGTTTTGTGTTTCTTATAATATCTCACTTTCAAACTAATTTGAATTTATTTTAATTGTAAGTTTAAGTTGTTTATTATGTTACGTGTAAAGGAACGATGTTTGGTTGATACGTCAACATTAGTGATGAGCCAACTTATTGGTTGCTCGTTACTTTCGTTGAATCCAGGTTTGAAATGGAGAACAAAAATTATGATGAAGATGAAGTGTCATTATGCATCCACAAAACGAATGATATTAACATAAATATCAAAATAAATTCAGTCTAGGCTGTTACATAGTACTTGTGAAAGTCGAAAATTTTACCAATGGTTCGCAAAACTAAGGCGGGAGATCTCGTACTGACAAGAAACTCGGCAAGGGCTGCTTTTTTAATTTCAACTAAACAACTCAACTATACTTTATTTGAGGGAACGTAACCACCTAACGCACATGATACCACCGCAGAGATTTTAAGAGACCATAACTACTCTAGGTATTTAGTAAATAATATATTTCAATAAAACGGATTTCTAGTGTAGGTTGTGTAGGAAGTCAAACTATTATTAACAATATTATTGTAAAAACCAAAAGGGAGGACAAACGCCACCGTACGCCTTAACTTAACACATGGCTCGACGTCCGCCGTCGACATGGCTGAAAGATCCCGTGAGCAATAGTCTAATAACTTGGGGATTTGAACTTTAAAGCCTTATAACCTTGCTTAGTTTCGTTGTTAGAGCAGGCGTCTTAGCTTGTTGATTGCTGATTGTTTATTAAGATGATTTAATTATGAATATAAGATTTAATAACTGATAATAGTTTTATAATGTCTTAATTTCGAAAGCACAAGTTATTTGCACGTAACACTTTGCACAAACGTCATTTTAGCCAGCAGTTATGTTATTTTGTACGAATACATAGTATATTTGATACATATCGGGTAAGTTTATAGATAACAAACGTATTTTTTTATAATAATTATCGTTTTTATGACTTTTGTTTTTGATTAATAAACCCTATTCATCCATTCACCATACATAATATAAAAATATTATTGAAACTTAATGTAGTTTTGTTGTTGTAAGTTCAACAACCAACTAATAGCAATAAAACTAACTTACCTAGTTGTTATTTTTTCAGAACTTTTGTTAAAAATTAAAATGAAAAATTCCTAGACCTACAATGACATAAGTACCTATTTTATTTATAAAACTATTTGGCGGTAATATTATTGTATACCGTAGTTAGATGCCATTTTTAATTATATCACAGCATTCAATTGATTTCCACAAATTTAAAAAACCTCTGTGCTCACTTCCATTATGTTAGTTTCCATTTTCCTCTATACAAATAAAAAATAAATTTATTCAAAGATTACTTTCTATTAATCGAGTTGCGTTTGCTTAACTCGAACTAGTTAAATTTCAACTCGATATTAATCCGAGTTATCAGATCCATAACAACACTAACAAATCTATTCTCTTTGGTTTAACGTCATGAATTGACGTTTAGATCCAACAATTTATGCTGCCATCTAGTGACATAATTTTCTGTAGTTTCTTTATTTTTTTTAAATACTTCCTCATTGAACATTAAAAAGAAAAAAATTAACTAAAACATGTTTTATTTGTCCTTAAATAAAAATTCTTTCTCATGCCACCACTTTTGATCTTTCCTCCGACTCCGATTCCGATTCCGCAGTGGCAGACTAAGGGAGGGGGGGGGGATGGGGTGGTCCGCCCCGGGCCTCTTATCCTGGGGGGCATCCAAATGGCTGAAAGTTGTAGGTATGGACCTAATGCCCCCCGGCAGGGTTAGTCCGCCACTGCGACTCCGATAAAGCAAATTTTAAAACTCCGACTCCACTTTTGGTTCCGATAAAACTACCTCCGTTACATCCCTGATATAGATGTCTATTTACTTTATATCTCACACATAATTATTAATATTAAGTTATTATAAATGAAACAACATTTAAACGGTTTCATCGTGTTTGTATTTAGTTTTATGACGTTTCGGACTCTTTAGAGGTTCTGTTCAATATTGGAAGGACTTTGAAGCGAGTTTCTATCAATACTTTAAATACGTGTAAACATACAAATAAGTCATTTGTAGCAAGTTAAAATTTAGTCAACTATTGAAAAGTTACGTGTAAACCAGCCCTTAGGCATATAAAAGTCGCCGTCATTACAAATGTCATTTTGGATGACAACTCTCCTTATATGGGCATGTGGTGCGACGTTTTTGCCAACCTTTGAAAAAAAATCTCATACGTCATTTTTTGGGAGGCTATGAAGTGCTAGCGGTTGACTGTGTTTTTTATAATTAAATTGGAAAGTACTGAGTAAACTTTAGATTTAGATTAGCGAGCGTAGTTATTTATTATTAAATATAGTGTAAGATTTAAAATGTCCTATTCTAACAGTGAGTTTACGTATTATTTTCCGCTTTCAATCTAGATAGTTACAATTTGGCAAATGATATTATTCGCAGATAAAGCTAGTTTGTTTTTTAAGAAGTTCTTTTATTAATTAAGTCATGGTGCTTTTCGTCCTCAGAATATACTTTCGCGGCCTTACCGCGGACGCAACGCGGTACGCCTTTAGTTCTAGGAGGTGATCCTAAAGGAAGGACCTTCTTGTATACCAATGGGAACTCAGTGATTATTAGAGACATCGAAAACCCTGCTATTTCTGATGTGTATACAGAGCATTCTTGTCAAGTTAATGTGGCTAAGTACTCACCAAGTGGATTTTATATTGCATCTGGAGGTAAGTCCTATTTGAGTCAGCATAAACTAGAAATATTATGAATTTAAGCAGCATTTTAGAAGATGAAAATGACTGCACATTTTACTATAAAATCTGTTTATAATTTAACTAGAATTATTATAATTTAACCTAAACTTACAAGAGTTTATGCTCTAACAAAACAGGTTATAAACTGTCAATATTTACAGTTTTACAGTGACACTTAAAACATATATATATATACGTCTTGGAAGCACTTTCGAATGACTCGAGTCATGAAGCACATTAATTTTGATATATTTTATGAAAAATAAAAGTAACCTAGCTTTGTTATTTATTATAAAGTGGACCGTTTTATGTTATACTAATGGAAAATTGAATTGAATTGAATATCTGAATCTACTGTATCTGAAGTAGCAATTCCACCATTCTATTCACAGGGGTTTTTTTAGGTTTTAACTGTATAATCTAAAGAGTTTTTTTACTTTATCTAGTTACTAAACAAAGACAAATATCTTTTACTTAAGTATAGTTGATGTGGTCATTACAGAGATGCATACTATTAATAATATATAAATTTATGAAAATTAATAGAATACATGTAATTGTCAAATAATGTTACTTCAACTATTAAACTTCAACTTTTATTATCAACTTATTTATTTACTCAAATTGATAAATGGCAAAATAGCTAGTATTCCTCGTCAAAACACAACTATGGTTTCTTAAGTTTGCACCAAACATGTATCCATAGGCCTAGGAATGGGTTCCATGATCACCCCAGAATAGCTGGTGCCCAAATTTTCTCTGACATAATATTTGACAATTGTCTCCAGATTAAGCACTTTCCCTCCTGTGTTGTTTTTAGCCGAGGCCAGGTCTTTCCTGAAAATTTATGCCCCTGTCAGGCAACAGCATTACATCATGATGGCAGTAAGAATTAAAACCTTTATCTCCACTGTCAATATCTTAATGAATCATAATCTGAATTCTAGGTAATTGATAATTTTGTGATTGCTGAACATTATGAGCTGCTTAAAGATAAGGACACTTTTATCATTTACACAAATAAACAAACATCACACTTGTTAACATCCTGTTAAGAGAGAATCGAAAGGGAATAATCTTTGAAACTGGTTTTAGGCACTGACACTTTTCATGAACAACTCTATTCTTTGCTAAAGATAGAATTTAAATACATTTGAAGTTTTTCATGATTTGTTAGTGATATAAGTACTGATATTACTTATATCTTAATAAGCTCTAAAACTACTGAACCAATTTTTGAAAATCAATGGTCTAAGCTATTAATGGGCGACATAGGCTATAATTAACGAAATCGGAATAACGAAACTGATACTAGATTCGCAAATTTTTCAGCATGCTAATACATAGAACAAATTTGGGAATGCATTATCTTATTGCCAAGATGTATACAGTATAACTTAATTTTGAAAAAGTACCTACTATTGACATTTCAAGACTGCCCTTTCAAGAAAAAAAGCACATACTTTTAGCCTCTAAACATTAATTGTAATGATATTACTATAATAATATAAAAATTCATTGTAATAATATAAATGCTGTGTATACCTGTAATTTATTAATATCGTGAATGTTTTATGTGTTTTGCTGTTGATGTACCTTAATATAAATAAATAAATTACATGAGCCAAATTGTGGAAGAACAGCTAGTGTGATCATATAAAATATCGAATTTTATACTCTACAATAAATATTGATTATCAATATATTGTAAATTAACAATATCGCCGAAATAATTATTGATAATTCTTTCCAAGCCTACTCCACAGGCTCATGAATTTTCCGGATCGCAGACACAGCAGTGCACAAGCGTTAACCCGGTTTTTCATTACCGCCATCTCGGACAGGAAAAAGCCGGTCCTGAATAGAGGAAAGTAAAAATCCGTACAGTGCAAAGGCTAGCATTACCTACATATGGCCTGACATATCGGATCGAAAAAAATCGGACTGCCGGACCTGAAAATTCAGAGTAGTGCGCAAACGCCCTTATGTGTACACTCACCTAAGGTTCTTTCTTACCTTTGGTAGAATTCAAATTTACGCCATGTGTCTAATAGAGTTTAAACTAAATCATTGGAACAAAAGTTTGAAATCTACTGCAGAATTTTTGCCGAAACTGCTACTTACTGTTTGTACACTTATTTTATATGTTAAAGTAGCTGTTTTCTCGCAACTTCGCCCGTATACATTATAAGTCTATGTCATTTGTGTATCATTTTTATGATTGGAACGGTATTTTGAAGATACAAACAAACAAAGTTAGAAACATTACAAACAAAGATACAAACAAACAAAGTTATCTAAAAAGTCTAATGAGTGACTCAAATAGAACTCAGTATATTAATAATGACGTCAGAATATTACGTCACATCCAGTCACATCAGTATTATTTTATTATAGAAACTGAAACTTCTCTTCATCTTGAAAAGAACTTTCTCATGTTGTTTTGAAAAAAAGAAAAACTGTATTAAGAACCCGTCCCACCATTTTTTAAATATCATAAGCATTGAAATTAATCTTATGAACTTTGAATAAAGCTATCTCTTTCAATGGATACTATAAACTATTATTAGTTAAGACTAGGCGTCACGATGAGAAAGCGAGACGAAATGTAGTTGCCAGTGCACCGTTAAAGGTTAGGCTACAAAGTGACTCACGTATTTATCAACAAGCCGTTTTGCCGCGATTTCGCTCGCGTGAGCCGTGTATTATAAAGCCTCCCCTAGATGAAAGAATTATTGAAATTGGTCCAGCAATTTCGGAGCCTATTAGATCCAAACAAACAATCAATTTATAACAGTGTAGATTACCGTTTAGTTATGAGAAGAAATGGTGGATTTGAAAAGTTAGAAATTTAATTTTATAAACATGATATAGATGCCTCATTTCGAATTACTGCTTATTAGGACATTATCTCTTTGTATAAAACCACTTTGAAGTTGGTGATTTTGGGTATAAGCACTCTCTCAAATATTCCCGCGAATTTGCCCGAGTAAGTTATAGCCTGTGTCACCCACGACTTAGCCCGTAGGTGAAAGAACTTTTAGAATTTATTCAGTAGCCTATTCGATGTAAACAATCAAATCTTTTCTGTTTATAATATTAGTATAGATTACTCAGCTGATAAACATTATTGGTGGCATAGTGGGTGACAAAAATTGTATTTAAGCGATTATTTTTCATATCATTATAACTTGGGCAGGCCTATTTCTCTCGTTTATTACATTTTCCAATTTTGAAGAAATTCAAGTTGTTCTAAATTAAAGTTCGTTGATTGCATATTTGTTTATCATTATTTGCATAGCGGAAAGCGCTTTGATAATGCGGCGAGGCCACAGAGCGGAAAGTTCCGTGGCACATAAAATCCTATGGTCGCCATTGTTTATAACCAAATGTGGACAGATCTGGATAAGTTCAACAGTAATCTAGAAGAACGGTTCAGAATTTTCACAAATGCGGGTAGAAAACGAGACGGAATTGAAAGTGACAGATGATGCCATATTTGGCGAAATGAATTGACGATAATATTTTCAGTTAATTTGTTAAACCACTAGCGGTATTCCCCAAACTCCGTTCGCGTAAATTATAGCCTGTATTATCCTCATAATATGATGAGTCACCCGTAGGTGAAAGAATTTTCATGATCATATCTGTATTACCCATACCATAGATTTTATTCATGTCCTTCGGCTTGGAGTCCAAGAGAGACAACATTACAAATAAAAAAAATGCCTTCAACAAATAAAAAAAACAAGCTTCTCTTCTGTATAATATTGTGAATTCATCACATAATAATATCAGTACATCGTTTCAAATGAAACATTGTTTAAAAAATTTATCCCTGGTCACCCTACACTTGTCCGTGAATGACGTGAAGTTTAGTGTTGTAGGTTAAACAGTTTATGTTGCGTTAGAATATGTAATTATTAATATAGTATTACCTTTTTTTTTGTGCAAACGCATAAATATTTAAAAGGTCATTGGACCTTTACAATATCTCTTGCGTACAATTTAAGCGAATATGTTTCTATGTTATTACAATTGTATTTGGAGTTGGCAATTGTCCAGCGGCGCCGGAATCATTCCAGAATAATCTCCGGTTAGCTAACATTTATGTATCAACGAGATACTAGCTCGCAATGTGAAAATCTGTAATAAGAATTGACTAAGGATAGGGTGGGAGGATAACCGATTCTCTTGCTGCATTTTTAAACATTAATAATGATTTATAAGGGCACGCAAACACCGCATCCCTCCATTTTATATGATACTGATATACCTTTCGCTTCCTTCTTGCTTATTTGACCTTTTATGGAAGAAAACATTTGTTTGCTTGTGTTGAATAGGTTCCGAAACTACTGGAGCGATTTTTTAAATTCTTTCACCTACGAGATGCTAAAACAAAAGACGGGCAAATTCAGTCAGTAATAAAAATAACCTCGAGTTTGACGACAAGTTGAGGTTCAATCAAATAAAACCTGCTTGACAAGATAATATAATTTCATCGTTGATTTCGAAATTTTAATTTTAACCCGAATTAAAATCGAGTCCAGGATTGTTGGCGATATACCTATTATATTTTAAACCGTTGAGTGTACGACTCGGACCATGATCGTCACAAAAGTTGCTACTTTAATGTTTTTATGGCGATGCAGGATTACGTTAATAATATTTTTTTTAATGTCATAAACACGGTGTCTGTTGGCCATAGGGATTTAGAGATAAATTTTGTAAAGTAATTTTGTAATAGCCGTTTTCCGCGACTTCGCCCGCGTAAATTTTGTTTACGATTTAGCTTTCTGTAGGTAATAGTTTTTCAAATCGATCCAGTAGTTTCGGAGACCATTTGATGCAAATAAATAAATCTCTCCGCTTTATAATATGAGTATAGATGAGGAATTTGGACTATGTTTCTAAGCAGGAATAACGTGGCGTTATAATTATTTAGTTTTTTGGCGCCATGCCAACTGATAAATCGGAACGAAATAAGAGCCCTGAATTCTGTCCTGTGTTTATGGCCGCTCCGATTGGCGCTGACTTCCGTAGCTTAGTGATTAGCTCTGTTTGTACGTTGAGTGTAAGAAAAAACGGAACCCTTATAGAATCACTCGAGCGTCTGTCTGTCTGTCTGTCACAGTCGATTTTCTTTGGAGCTTTTTGCGATTGAATTGAAATTGATACATATGTAAGTAAATAGTATATAGACTGATGAATTTTAAACATGGTGTCTTTTTTTGGTGAGCTATTTAAGACTAAAGACGAAAATTAACCATTCCCTCCTGAAATTGGAAAAAGGGGCTTAAAATTAAAAAAGAAGGTCCTACTCGCTCTTTCATGGTTTTGAGAAAGTAAATTATTTTTTTTTCATTTCAGACGCGTCCGGTAAAGTTCGCATTTGGGATACCGTAAATAAAGAGCACATCCTGAAAAATGAATTCCAGCCGATCGGTGGGCCTATCAAAGATATCGCTTGGAGCGCTGACAACCAGCGGATGGTGGTCGTCGGCGAAGGCCGGGAGAGGTATGGTCTCAATTCTGCAAATGGATTTATTGCTGACCTATTAATATCCCCACTGCTGGAGAACAGGCCTTTTCTATGGATAGAATTGACTTGAGAGAATTGAACATCCATCAAACTGCGCTGGACTACTGGGCTACCAAAGGTCCAGTGCGGATTGATAGCTGTTAAAAACCGCAAACGCGGCCGAGACCAATGGTTTAACTTTTCTTCCGAAGCAAGGTAGGGATGATGATGAAAATTTTTTGGTCAGCCGTCTTGTGTTTGTTAAACAATAACAACTGCATCGCAGACTCAATGCGTTAAACACCAAGCCGTCGAGCTGGGATGCATGGATAAACTCAAGATAATAATAGATTTTCGGTCACCCCTCGGAACTATGGATATGAAGAAATCCGGATAGTCATCATTTTGTAATTGAATAATAACTGAATACATTACATTACTTGTTTATTGCAAAAGCTTTCAAGCGTTTTGGACATTTTTTTTTTAAAATATGCGTCTTCTACTCTCCTAATTGCCGTGCCCGACGTGTAACGCCTTTGTCATACATTACGAGCGGAGATCCTTCGATAAGTTAAAAATTTAATGTTCTATTTGCATTAAATATCTAAAATATTCTGATTTGTATGGCATTTCCTTATCTATATTAATATTATAAACAGGAAAGATTTAATTGTATGTTTGTTTGCATTTATCTTCGAAACTCCATCATATGCGGAAGCTACATCATATGCGGTTGACAATACATAGTATAAAGCTAAGTCGCTTTCTGTCGTCTGTCTGCAACGGATTTTAGGCAGGTTTTTATGTATAATACAAGACCACGCGGACGAAGCCGCTGGCGGAAAGCGAGTAGGCTATAATTTAGTAATAGTAATTTTTATTTTGCTAGTATGTGGTACAGTAAAGATCTTATATAAGTAACAGGGCTTCGAATCGATACATTCACCCAATTATGGGCATGCAAAGATATTAATATTTTAAACTAACTTAATCAATTACATAATAAATGATAACTAATACACAATAATAAAGTCATGATTAAATAATAGATATGAAACATTCAGCATGATAAACAAATATAAATAAGTAATAATTCATTTTAATAACATCAATAATCAACACTTAAGCATACAAAGTCATTTCCAATTATCAAATCAAATATTAATGTCAAAGATTATATTGAATTTTTGCATGTCAAAATTTAGATGTCACATTTCCAAATATTCATTAACACCATAAAAACATTTTTCCTGTGTGTAACTTTATAACTCGGTAGCTCGGTGGCGTAGTTGATGAGCGCCGCGACCGGCGATCGTTGATGTTAATCAACTTTCGCAAGGGACGCACGGGATGGGTGACCAAAAAAAAAATTATATCGAGCTACTCCGTGCTTCGGAAGGCGCGTTAAGTCGTCGATCCCAGCTGCATTTTTAGTCGTTAATACCCTCCAATCCGCATTGGGCCAATGTGGAGGGTAGTGGCCCACCCTCCTTAACTATCCATAAGGAAGGCCTGAGCCCCTGCAGTGGGGACGTAAAAGGGGTGATGATGATATGATGAACTTTATAACATTACTAGCTTTTTGGTTACCACTAGTATTTTGTCCGTCTACCCATTATATATTATGTTTTGTTTTTGTTGGTAGATTCGGTCACGTGTTCATGTCGGAGACGGGCACTTCGGTGGGCGAGATCAGTGGCCAATCGAAACCCATCAACTCGGTGGACTTCAGACCAGCTCGCCCGTTCAGAATCGTGACCGCGTCTGAGGATAATACCATTGCTGTGTTTGAAGGTCCACCATTCAAGTTCAAATGTACCAAGCAGGTGAAAAACAATATACAACGCTAATTTTTAAGTAGATCTAAAAAGTTGTGATTTTTCTGTTGCTTACACTTAACATATATGTGCAGTGAAAAAATTTAAAAATTAAAATATTTGTCAAATTATTAATTTATCAAAATTATTGGTGATTGTTTGTATACAAAAATATTACTTAATTTGTTTAAAGTTTGCGTTGTTACAAAAATCTGTTTTGTTTGCTAAAGCAGGAAAAGAATGTCGCGTCGAAATAAAAATAATGTTATAGTCACTGCAACATGAGAGCAGGGGCTTAATTGGCTAATTTTAAAAACAATCGCAATCCCTTTCACTTTACGCTACAACTATTTGACATGTTGAATGATCGATATTGTTAATTTGACGTTAATTTGATTTTTTTTAAGGCGTTTGACGATGTACCTGCGACTTTAATTTAACATACTCCCAGAAATCTCTATCACAATTGCTTTACCTTTGTTGAACTACGACAATTCTGAAATTGTACAATTAGCATACTGATGGGCTGTTAAAACATCTAGTCACTATATATTTATTTTCAGGAGCACACTCGTTTCGCTCAAGCCGTCCGCTACAGTCCAGATGGTAGTTTGTTTGCTTCGGCCGGTTTCGACGGAAAGATATTCCTGTTTGACGGGGTCACATCAGAGCTCAAGGGGGAGGTAATAATATTAATACCATTAAAAACAATATGTACAAAAATGCACAAGTCTTATGCCAGTCGTAAAAAGTCATATCAATGTAAAACAAGCCGATTAATCGAGTACCTATTTATCTGTGGGAGCAGCTATCCAACCTTATTATGATATAGAAACCTTCAGTGCCCTGCACGAAAGTAAACCCTGCGCAATAAACGAAAATAGGGTATCAAAGGAGGTGAAGTGCGCGGGGGAGAAATTTAACCATAGCAACAGGGCCTGTTGTCATCCCGCACTTGCCGTTTCCCTACAAATTCTCTTCCCGCCATTTTCAAATGCACTTTTTTCATTGATAAATATACTTTTATATATATAGTGGTTTAATACTATAAATTATTTTGTCGTTCTCATTACGTTTTGAGTTTTTAAGACGCACTCAAGTGTAATATTTCATTAAACCATATCAACAATAATATAATTACTTAATACGCACCATAAGTATTCATATCTACCATATCTACTATAAGGAACACTCGTATTATGTAAATGGCGTTTTTAATTTTTACCACTATTACACTTGCGCAGTGGACGCCATATTGGGTTTACATTCGTGCCGGGCATACGTGGGTGACATAGATATAATAGGCCAATTTCGGTAGTGATAAATAAACACAAAATTGCACAAACACTAAAATCTACATCGTTATAAACATAGAGATTCTGAAGTTATTATCGCATAATTATCTTAAAATTAAAAGTTGTGCTTTTTTGTAACTGGGAACACAACCCGCCATTGTGTGACGTCACTGTGGCGACAGCTGTTATATTAGTCGTAAAGATATGTTTATTAATTATAAATCGAATTCCTAGATGGCGCTATTCGTAGCTCATTTATATCTTTTTATTACGTAATCGATTGTTAGGTTGTTCTTGTTTTATCTATTTTGTGCATAGAGTTAAGGTTTTGGTTGACGTCATGTATATGACGGACAGCGTATTTGCGTATATAAAAAAACAATAAGGCAATTAAAAGTGTTTGTTTTATATTTGTTTAATGACTTTTTAAAATTAAAATAAACATATACAAGTATTATTTCAAACAGAGTAGAACACCCTATTGATAGTATTTTATTTTATTTATTTGTTTTGTAGATCGGTTCTCCGGCCCACAAGGGTGGTGTCTATGGTATATCCTGGTCCCCCGACGGTAAGCAGTTGCTGTCATGTTCCGGTGATAAGACATGCGCGATATGGGACGTCGCCACCATGGAGAGGGTCACGTTGTTCAATATGGGCAACGCCGTTGAGAATCAACAGGTGATAATTACGATCGTCACACGGTTATATTTTAAAAGAAACGTTTCCAATCACATCAGCCGTTTATATCTCTGCAGGGGCTCAGGCTTTCCTTATGGATGGTTAAGGAGTAAGGGGCATGACCCTCTACGCTAGCCTAATGCGGATTGGAGGGTATTAACAACTGCAAATGCAGCAGGGGCCAACACAGAGCATTCCGAAGCACGGAGTAGCTCGAAATATTATTTTTTTGATCACTTATCCCTTGACCTACCCTTGTGAAAGTTGCTTAACAGCAAAGATTGCAGGGCGCGACGTTAATCCACCGAAGCTACTAGAATGCGGGCAGTACAAAAAACCCTATTTTTTACATTGAAAATAAAATATCAAACGCATTAATAAATGCGTTTTTTACTTATTCCAAATAAAAATATACCATTACGATAGATACGCAATAAACAGGTTATAAATGTCAGTTTAAGTTCTAAAGAAAGTAACCAAAACAATCGTATATCTGAAAAAAAAAAACCGTAAGCGAAATAAAAATTGCAGATAATCCGGATATTTATAATTGTGAGGATATTGTTTATACACTACAATGGTTTTATTTAAATTAATTTGATATATGATATGGAATACCACAAGAAATAAAAACGTAATTAATATCCATTTGTATTTTAGTTTTAAAATTTCTCAAAAGACCTGTTTGTAAGCGAACCTATCCGATGTAACAATTCTCAATTATCTATAATATCCCCGGTAAGAGTATCTGTAAAAGTCTTTGGTTTGTAATCATAACAACGTGCGCAGGTATCTTGTCTATGGCAAGGCAGCCACCTCCTGTCCGTGTCCCTGTCCGGCGTGATCAACTACCTGGACGTGGACAACCCGGATAAGCCGCGGCAGGTGTTGATGGGTCACAACAAGCCGGTCACGTGTCTCACGCTTCGGCCCGACAGAAACGCCGTATATACCGCCAGTCATGACGGATGCGTCACGTGCTGGGATGTCAACACTGGTATTTCATTTTTAAAAGTACTTTAAAACTTTCATATGATTTTTAACCACTGTCCGATTTATTTTCTCGGAAAAATGTTATTAAAATAAAGGATAAACACATTTTAATTCGTTAATTTGTTGTTCTGTCTCGTGAGGTTTCGGACTGTGATGTTTCATTTCAATAAACATGACTATTGATTGCACTCGCAACAAAGACGTTAACGTTTGATTATGGAAAAGTGACGTCACAAGATGCTGCGTTTTTGCAATCCACAAATATAAATGGCAAGTTGATTTCGCAAATATAAAATATATTTGTGTCGAAAAAAACTACATATTTATTCTTAATGATTTTTTAAGCATTTTTCATTAAGAATATTGTCCAGTCTGATATACCTTTTTTTAAATATTTTTATTTTATAGATAAATGAAATACATATTTGAAGCAAAAGTATCATTCAAATAATTAGTTAAAATTTAAAATAAATTTAATTTTTAGCATTTCCCGCGAAAACATCACTTCTGTCACGTCACGCGCTGTTTGCGGTCACGTGACAACGAGTATAAAATATTTGCTTTTTCATAGTTAGTTTTAGCAACATTATAAATATAATAAGCATAAATGTGATTATCGGTAATAGTATATTTAACACTACCAGAAAAAAATAATATATATTTATTTCCATTTACTGTCTACACCCGTATTAGTAAAAATATACCGATAATTGTGACATTTGAAAGTTGAACCTAGAATCGATTAAAATTGAACCGTATTTGATATATTATAAAGTAATATTTTAATGAAATTATATTGATTTTTTACAAAATGGGTCAATATTGTCATTTAAATGTCATGTTGTGCTGCCATTTTAAATGTCATTGTTTCTCGTGTCGTTTATTGTCACATAATACAGATTAAAAATAGTAATGTAAATATTAGCAAAAGTGTACATTATTTAAAATATTTAAGGTAAGTTGCACAAACGTCCATTAAGGTGTAATGACGCCTTTAAGCTCTAATGAATGTCAAATTTGTATGAGTAATGTCGCTTTAAACTAATGATAGTTTTAATGGACGTTTGTACAACTGGATGTTAATTATAAGTAAAACTATAATATTATGATTACACATTATATGTTCTTTTTCGTCTACAGTAAACTCGTAGAAAAACCATTTTGAGTAATGTTTGCGACTTGTCAGGATGAATATTATTTATTTAAAGGTGAAGGGAGCCATATCACGGGCCAGGGTCATGGAAACCAGGTGAATGGTATGCGAGCCAGTAAAGATGGCTCTCTGCTTACTTGCGGTATAGATGATACGTTGCGTCGTGCCGCGCCTGCAGATGAAGGTAGGAATAAACTATATTATGTGGTTATAATAATATATATTAGGTAAAATTTGAGACTTCTAGCACCTGTAGTAAAGAAGTTTTATACAAACTATTAACTTCTAAAACAACCTAAACAAAGGGATCGAATTTTGTATATAAATAACAAACAAATAAATAAATATTAGACAATATTCTTAGTCGAGTAGCTAAAGCTCCCATATTATGGAGTTTCCGAGACATCGATGGTACCACAGCACACAATTTGAGACAATATAGAAAAGACAATTGTTTTTCATTGAGCTGTTTGGGAATCGAACCCGATACCTCAGAGATGGCGACATCTTGATATTGGTATGCGAATCATTCTGCTACAGAGGTCATCATTAATAAGCACAAGAGTGAAATGAAAAAATCCTTTATTCAAATAAGCTGCAAACTAATCTGCTAATGTTTTTGTAATAATCGGATCTCAATACAATCTCAATTACTTGCATTTTACTATTGCTACTTGCCATTGCCACTGTACTATCTACCTGAAACATCTGTACTAATATTATAAATAGAAAAGATTTGATGTTTGTTTGTTTGCAACGAATAGGCTCCGAAACTACTGGACTGATTTTAAAATAGTACATCATATGCAGTGAACATTGGCTATATTTAATCACCAAAAACAAAGGGAAAGGGAATGAAAATGGGAGTGGAAGTTTGTATAGGGAATTAAAACGTTACCATAGTAACCATTGTTAACTATTCAATTTTATTATCGTAATTAAATCCGTGTCATGACATGAATCGATATCCAAATAGACAGTATCATAAGGACGAAGTCGCTGTGAGTAATACATCGCACTAATAATATTGACATTTACGTAGATAGTATAATTTTAAATTGTAAGTAGTTGAGATTCTGTTGGGACGCGATTATGCAATTAACAGAATTGGCCTATTGAAACACTTCTCAATCGTTCTAAATTTTATTTAGTTCTTACATTTTGCCGATGAACACGACTAGACAAAGCAATAATGAGCATTAGCTGCTATACCAGGGTTCTAGAAACATATTTTTTAATAAAAATATTGATACATACCTTCTATAATCTATACGAAAATATGTGTAACCGATTGCTGTCTGTTAATGGAAGATATTTGAGAAAAAATATAATGGGAGCATTTATCAACATAATAGAACACAAAGCTTTTTTTTTAATTCGGATGGACAAAGTGATAGTCAGTCTGTTCATCCGCTGCTGAGAGCCGTTGGTTCATTAACCTGTTTATATCTACATTTGTTTATTCTTATTTTGGAATACAGGTGGGGTTCCTTGTTACACGGACGTGGCCATCCCTCTAGGGTCCCAGCCGAGGGCCATGGATCACGTCATAGAAGACGATACCACTATCGTGGCCACCGTGAAAGAGGTCAGTTGTCAATCGGTCGATTAGCACCCAATTTGTAACTCTGCTCGATGGCATAGTGGTTTTAAGTGGCGGAGATTAAGCAACTTTCGCAAAGGCCTGTCATAGAATTAACTAGCTAGCGTATGTAAGCCTTCCGTCCCGGCTGCGTCTACAGTTGTTAAAACCAACCAATCTGATTTGAGCCCGGGTGGTGGGTGGGTACTCTACCTACCTAAATCAATATCGCATAGATCATAGGCCTTCCCTATGGATGTAATTACTTTAGGACAAACGGGCCATAAGTCCATATCCCACTATGTGGGACGAGTGCGGATTGGTGAGTGCTGACGATTGTAGGTGCAGCTTTATCAAATCGTATAACTTGCTTTACGAAGGAGCTCGAGGTAATTAATTTTTAGTGACCCATCCGGTTACAAGCCTTTACGAAAGTTGCTTAGTGTTGACAATTTCAGATTAAATCACCGCAATTGTAGAATGCACGCGCTTACCAATCAGTTATCGATGTTATATCATGCATTGATTAAATTAATAAATTTTACTTACGAATTGTATTTTGTTCCAGTTGGCGGTGATTATCGGTACAAGTAAGCAGTCGAGTATGCCACTCAACTATGAACCTACGTGCGTCGCAATAGATCCTAAATCGAGACATGTCGCTGTCGGCGGTAAGTAAATTCGTATTCCCTATATTTTTTTACGATTTAACCATTTCTAAAAATGTGTTTTTTGTATGTAAGTTTGCTATTTTCTAATCAAATGTAAAGTTTTCAACCTTGGTATTACAAACGTCACGAGGTTTGTATTAGTATCGATACCGTTTATAACCAACATATGCTTATGTATAGTATAAGTTTTTAATTAGTGCACCAATTTTTTTATTATAGCCTATATGTCACCTGCTTGTGGTGCAGTTTCCCGTAGGTAAAATAATTTTTATAATTATTTCATCTACGGGAAGTCAAGTAGTTTCGAAGTCTATTTGAATCAAATCTTTCATCTTTATAATATCAGTATAAATGAACAAATTTTCATTTGAAGTGCTTTAATTTTATCTATATTTTTAATTTCTTCTTATCGCCGATGTTTGTTGATTTTGATTAATTTACAGCAGAGATTTCTTAAGAGGTGACTATACCTGCTTGGGATCGAATTGGGAGTCGTTGAAGTCTAAAACTCGAACCCTATCAATTAAACACAAGTTCTTATTTGAAACACAAGATATTTAATTTGTCTGTCTATTGTTAATAATTATAATAATATCCACTTTTAAACAATCGCGCTGCATTATTAAATACTTATAATACTGGATATTAGACGCTATTTTACACTGACCTGCGCCGACGTTTATAATAATATTATTAATTTAAGATTTTGACAAGAAAATTATGTCAATTTACCTGACTTAATATTTGCAGTCGCAAATAGACTGCAGTTTTAATTCAAGTTAATCAAATACTTAAAAATTTTATATAAATAAAAAAAAAAACTAAAGAGTACTATTTAAGGAGACGAGGTTCTGAAGTGTGAAAAATATTCCTGTACACATTTACTAGTTACACATTACTAGCATTTCATTATTTTGTAAATGCGTCATAGGTGCTGACAACAAAGTCCACATATACACCTTGGATATCCGTACATTAACACCCAGCGTCGAGCTGACACACCTGGGTGCCGTCACCGATGTCAAATATAGTCCTGACTCACAGTATCTAGTTGCCTGCGATGCTAACAGGAAATTGATACTGTACTCTACTGATGAGTATAAGGTATGTATTACTCATATAAATTAACATGACACATGAGGGCTTATTCAAAAGAATAGGCGAGTAAAAACTCGAAAACAAAATTTCTACTTTTATCGAAATAATAATACGACTGAAGTAAAAGATCTTTCATATGTATAGCGGTTGTGATAGTAATTTATTTTGGAACGAATGATGATTTGAATGATTTAAATGTCATAGAAAGTTCATTTCGTTTGATATTTCCCAATAATGACGTTGAGAGTGTTTTTATTCTGCAAAAAAAGTGCATTAGAATTTTAACTAATATAGATCAGATGGAATCATGTAGACCTCACTTTAAATTACATTGCATACTTACGTTAACCTCAATCTATATCATGGAATGTTGTAAGTTTATACGAAAACATGAAAATTTATACTCACCGGTAAAGTTGGCTAAAAAGAGAAACAATCGCACAGAAAACCAAATTAAAGTACCGTTTTCTAAACTGAAATTAGTCACTACAGGACCTCATTTTATGGCCATCAAAATTTATAATCATATTCCGAATAGCTTAAAGAAAATAAAAGAAACAAAAAAGTTTATTACAGAGCTGAAAATATACTTAATAAGTAAATGTTATTACAATATTGAAGAGTTTCTTAACGAGTAGTAACAAACTATGCCCAAATAAAAAATAAAAAAATAAAAAGAATAATACAAAAAAAGTATATATGAATAAATGTATCAACTATGTTTAAGGTTTATAAATTAAGTAAATAATAAAATAATTATTAAATGAATTAATAAATGAATGTATTGTAAATGTATTAATCGAGTTTAAAGTATATTGGATATGTAAGTAAAATAACTATTAAATGTATAAATAATCACTAGAACAATAATATATATAAGTAAAAATGGCAATAGTTGCCCCTCAGTATTGCTGTGCCCTTACAGGGCGTCACTTGTACAAAATTAATTTATAACATCTGTATGACCTGTGACTTGCATTGAATAAATTGAAATTGAAATTGAAAGGTATTTGTAACAATATTTGCATAGATAATACGGATTAACGTCAAATAAACGCTATCGTACTTTCAATATCTTAAAAAAAAACGTCGCGGTCGCAATAGGCATGTTCACTAATTTTAGAAATAGCTTTTAATTTATAAATAGAGCTTAAATAAACACGAAAAAAATATTTTTGAGAAAAAAATATCACTAACTTCAATAAAAAATCAATTTAAAAATTATTTTCCAAAAATTGCCGCCGAAACGCTCCCAAACTGTCACGTGATAAATATCTACGTCACAGGCCGATAAACAAAGCTCGCGTTCTATGACAGTCCACTGTTTTTTACTGAAATATTGTTAATACTGTAATAATGACCTCGTTTTACAAAACATGTGCAGTGCCAATGTGCAAGAGTACGTCAATAACAACACCACAGAAACTTTTCATATACGTTCCAAAAAATGCACTAATAAGAAGAAAGTGGTTATCACTTGCTAGAAGACACCCAGCATCATTGTCAGCGACAAGTACCAGTTATTTTTGTGAAGATCACTTTGACGTAAGTTCTAGCAAACTCAAAATGTAAAAACTAATATTAATGTTGTGTTACATACAAATCTATTTTTTTAGGTTAGTTACATGGCTCAATAAAGTGTCAAATGTTTACCAGTTGTATTTTGTTTACTTGGCTAATCTAAATAACCTATTGATTAATGTATATCTAATTTCAGCTTCCAAAAGACATGGAAAATTATGTAGAATACACTACAATGGGTGTAGTATCCCGCATAAGAATGAGACCCGGTTGTTTACCTACAAAGTTTGCTTGCCAACCAAATAGAGCCAACATTTCTACTGATGTCTGTCGCCCAGCCGCTGCAAAAAGGCAAAGACTCTCATTGATAAGGGAATGTGAAGAAGAGATAAGAGCAGCACAACCTGCTCAAGCTCAACCAATAGAAAATTTAAATATTGAAGTTCTAAATCAAGACGAAGGTTGGTACTAATTCATTATCCCTAATAGTATCAATATTAAAGTATAAGTTCATCAATTTTTATCAAACCTTTGTACATATGAATGTTCTTTAAAACTTATTATGCATCTCAATGTTTTAGTTCTTCTATTTACCTGTTTTTTTATTATCAACAAAAGGTTTTTTATTATGTACCTATGTAAAAATAAAGCAAGTTCACTATAAAGGGAATTTTCTTTTTCAGATCCAGTCCAAGAACAACTACAAAATACAACAAAATTTGATAAAGCAGTCCAGATATGCATAAGAGCCAAATATCGAAGTAAAACTACTCAAACTGAAACAAAATCAAGTACGAAGAAAACCTCTCCTATAAAGGTTTTTAGCACATCTGTGTCTACTTCTCCATTTAAAATTAAACAGTTAAGGCCATTTATAAAACCACACCAGTTTCACTCAAAAGCAAAAGTAACATGCAACTTAAGTAATGATGATAAATCTGATAGTGATGTGTCATCTGTATACACACCACCTGTAACACCTATGACAAAATCTTCTTCGGACACAAGTGTTTTAAATGAACCAGATTTTAAAAAAGAACTTTACCGAAAATCTATGTTAGAATATACTGTAGAGAGAATAAAAAACAGAACACTGTTCTATATTGGTGTACCAAAAGATTGTTATGATTTAATTAAAATTATGCATGAGCATACTGGTATTCCTGAATACCAAATATTGTTGTGTTTAAAAAAAATTCGTTTGGACACAAAGTTTTCTGAACTTTCTGATGAGTTTGGAATAAGTAGAACATATGTATCAAAAATAGTATCTGAAAATATACCTAAAATTGCAGAAATCATGAGGCCTTTTATTGTTAAATTAGACAAGACTTCTATCAAAAGATGCTTGCCAATAGCCTTTAGAAAAAACTATTATAATGTAACATGCATTATAGATTGCCTAGAAATTGAAATTCAAAAGCCTGGTAAAGCCGTGAATCAATCTCTAACTTGGTCTGAATATAAAAAAGCCAACACCATAAAATACCTAGTTTCTAGTACACCTAATGGACTAGTGAATTATATTTCACAGGGGTATGGAGGTAGAATAAGTGATGTATGTCTGGTAGAAACTTGTGATTTCCTTAAATGTTTACCTAGTGGGTCACATGTAATGGCTGACAGAGGCTTTAAGCATATAGAACCACTATTATTTGCGATTGGTTGTAAGCTAACAAGGCCACCCAGTGTAGTGTCCGGTAATAAATTATCTAAGGAGGAAGTGAAAGAAACAAAAAAAATTGCAAGTCTAAGGATCCACATAGAGAGAGTCATTAGACGCATAAGGGAGTTTTCTTTTCTGAAGTCCCATGCTTGTGTAAACAATAATCTTTCAGGAAAACTTGACGATATTATAGTTATAGCATGTGGCCTCATAAATTGCAAAACTCATTAATTAATAAGTAACTAGATAGGTACTACTGAGATATTGCACAACTAGCTGTATGCCCGCGGTTTCACCCGCATAAACTACAACCCATGGCCAGCAGTAGGATAAAAAGTAGCCTATGTTACTCGTGGATAATGTAGCTTTCGAATGGTGGAAGAATTTTTAAAATCGATCCAGTAGTTTTTGAGCCTATTCATTACAAACAAACATACAAACAAAGTTTTCCTCTTTATAATATTAGTGTAGATGTAAACTGGAAATGAAAGACTAAAATATCAATCATAAGTATTTTTATTTACTTACATAGTGATTAATAAGTAACTAGATACTAAGGTATTGAACAATGTAAACTGGAAATAAAAGACTAAAATACCAATCATTAGTATTTTTATTTACTTTTATTTTATTTTACATAAGTGCCTACTATGTTTCTGTTGTTTTATATAGTAACGGGTAGATATTTGTCTTCCAAAATAATAATAAAGACTGCAATAAAGTTTCAACATACTCTTCATTATAATCTACTGATATTATATTAACTTTGTTATTACTTTGAAAGTTTATATCTGCGATGCAAAAGAAACACTTTTTATATCCACAAACATACATTTGGATTTGCATCTGGTCATAACACTTCGATGAGGGTTTCCCATTTTGAATATAATTTTTTATAGTGTTCTCATTAAAAGGACATTTTATTTCTATCAGAAATTGCTCACCGATACCATCAGGAGAACCAGCAATCATAGGAAATTGTTGGCTAATAAAAAGCCCACATCTTCGTATCTTTTTTTTTAATATTTTTTCAACAGTTCCTCGTACTTTATTTTCTAAAATCCTGCCACGCTTAATAGCTGGAGTCTCAGGAATGGTACCACCCATTATCAAAGATATTAATGCACCATCCCTTGTCTTGCATTTCTTAACTTCATAGGCTTTTGAAGCAGTTATTCTTCCAAACCTTAACTCATGCCATAAGCTGCTGCTGGACTGGTCTCTTGTAACTTCTTCAATTTTTTCTAATAATGCTGGAGTAAATAAACCCAATACTTTCTTAATAAAGTCCTCACTACATTTTTCCTTATATTTCTGCACTAAATGGTACAAAGACAGACCTTCCATCTCATTAGTGGTATTTTGTACATATTTTAACAGCTCGCAGTTGCTATTGCCTTTAGCTGTTAGTTGTTCCACAAATTTTTCAACAACATGGGGATCCGATGAGGTTGAGGCATGGCCTTTTGCTAATTCGGCTGCTGTTATATACTTTAAAGTTGTTCCCACTTTGGATAACATAGATTTTTTCCAGTAGCATGCTACCTCTGTACACGATGGTTCTTCGCTTCTTCTATGAAGCCACATCAAAAATGCCACTCCATGTTTACAACCACCTGCTGACGCAGCACAGTCGTGGCATTGTGTACTCTTAACTATACTGTTTTTTTCATCCACAACGACAGTCACTGTGTAGGGTTTGACACGAACTTTGTGCTCTGGGCACACACGACACTTCACAGTACAAATATTAGATTCTCTCTTTAGTTGTACGTATCCCACGGCATCATCGCCATAAGATTCTCTTGATGATCTGGAATAGAGGAAATAAGAGCATAAGTTAAACTATTATAACTTTGTTTACAACATAGACAAGGTACTTTTAAATATTTCTACTTAACCTTACTTAACATAACCTTACTTTTAAATATTTCTTTGTTAAATATGATAATTCGTTCCATATATTATAAATTTGCGCGTAATTCGGATAAGGTGTATTTTGAATGATAAATAATGTAAATCAGCATACAATTTAATACTTACAAAGATATTTTCACGTTTCTGAGCTCCGATGCACAAAAGTCTTTGTTTGTTGCAAAGAAATTTGCTACCATCAAAGAATCTATCTTCGGTAAATTACCGCTATTTGCTTTGATGAAACCACTCTCCATTATATTAATAAAATATGAGGTTTTGTATTCGTACTATTGGAATAAAGATATAAACAGTTTGCCGGTCGTACTTTTAGTATTGATTATGACAGAAATGTCAGCTTGTTTTTCGACCAGTGACGTCACCGCGCTCTGATTGGTGTTTGCAGTCGGGTGATCACCGATAAAAATTAAAGCATTTTAAATTATTTTTATTTAATTATAGAATAATAATTAGGTTCTTATAATTTTATTTTAGGTTTTATATGTTGTATTTAATAAGTGAAAAAAGAATTAGATGGATTTGTAACCTGAGTGAACATGCCTATTGCTAACACATGTTAAATAGTTGCAGTCGTTAATACCCTCCAATCCGCATTGGGCCAGCGTGGAGGGTCATGGCCCATCCTCCTTAACCATCCATAAGGAAGGCCTGAGCCCCTGCAGTGGGGACGTAAAAGGGCTGGTGATGTTAAATAGTTGTAGTGTGAATATTTTCAAATGTCAAAGTTATTGTGATAGATTGTAAAATTAGAAAGTCGCTTCCAAATGTCTGTACGTTGAGATCTCTTACTACACAACGGATTTTAGTGCGGTTTTATCAATATACATATACATAATATGCGGAAAGCTAGTAGTTTATATATTTTGATGATTTCATTTATTGAAATTGACTGGTAGAATATACATTAAAATGTCATTGACAAAATTGTAGCTAGATTTTTTTTTTAAAGTGTATTTTCTAAGGTAGATTAAGTACTTTATTTTGTTATTTATGTTTTGTTTTATATGCAGCCGGCTCATAACAAGGAATGGGGTTTCCATACTGCTCGAGTCAACTGCGTGGCGTTCAGTCCCGATTCTAAACGAGTAGCGTCAGGATCTTTAGATACCAGTGTTATCATATGGAATATCGATACACCGGCCAAACATACCGTCATAAAGAGTGAGTATTATCCATACTAATATAGTGCTACCATGATATTTTGGCAGGTGGTGTTATTTTGAACTAACGTCGCCATGTAAAATACCAATTGTTGGCAGATGTTTGTGGTATTATTAAGAATTTCTTGGGTATTTTTTTTGTAGTCAGTATTGCCAGATGCACTGGAATTAGATTTATTGTTTTTTTACTTCATTGATTGTACTATGAGGGCGCTGTAATTTTTTACAAGACAATAATTATTATTTTGATAAAAATTAACGCAATATAAGGATTTGATAAATAATAACGTGGGCATCTGAAATAATAAAATCGTCAAACCTTTATAATTCCCGGAATAAAATCCTTTTTATTAGTAGCCTTTATTTTACGAAGGGGCGCCTTTGTCAGTGTAATACAACTGCCAAAAGATCTTTGTAGCACTATATGTATTACAAATTAAATATACTATTACATTTCTCTATATGATGTAGTTTCATATTGGGGAAGATTTTTTTTTAGGGTATCTATGTCGATTAAAGTGGAGGTTAAATCTTTCCTTTGTGTTTGTTTGATCTTCCTTCGTGTTGTGAGTGTCGTTACTTAAAAAAATCAAGTGCTCAAGACAATTTCCGATCTTATATCAATGTTTTCAAATAAGATAATACTTTGCAATGAAATATACTCTGCATTGTATTTCTCTTGATTTGTGTTATCCTTAAGGGTATAATTTATGCAATTTTTAATTTATCCTCGTAGAAGACTTTGTCCTACTTTCGCAAAGTTCGATCATAGGATGGGTGATCGAGAATGTATTATCTCGAACTCTTCCTTCCCTTAAGTCACTGGTGCTGGCTATGTCTGTAGCAGTGGCGGGTTAACCTCATCGGAAGTCCGGGGTGGTAATAGGTCCAGATTGACAACTAGTTCCAATCAGGGCAGAAACTTGATATTACGTATACACCTAAAGGTTGCGTGGAAGAAATTACTTTTTAGCAATAAGGCCGCCAATTATGCATTTAATTTACAATAAAACATATTTCATTCATCCACTCCCCGTCCCACGCATACCTACATTTTTAACTTTATTCAATTATTATGATTTTGGCTGCATATGAGCTGCAGCTCATTTAGAGGTTACTCAGAACCGGAGGCCTGGGGCTGACTACCCCCTTCCTCCCCCCTCATCTTAGTATGTCACTGGTCTGTCGCCGTTTGAGTTAAGGCCATATAATTCCATTCATAGGGAAGCTCAATGCTCCAGATACATAGTAGGGTGATGATATTTTAAAAATTTATATTATTTTTTAGACGCTCATCCTCAAAGTCAAATCACCGGTCTGGCGTGGCTCGACGACGAGACAGTAGTCTCAGTAGGACAGGACGCGAATACTCGCATCTGGAATGTGCCTAAAGCTTAAACACCGAGAGGAATACGCATACGCTCATCCAAATATAAAACGTATGTCCAGTGTAATAGAATTCATTTTTATGTGATGGAATGGAATTTTTTATTTTTATTAGTTATACGAACTTTGTAAAGCAATACGAATTTTAAATGGGCATCATTCTTATTAGCTGTAATGGTAATTCAGAGTTAAAGATATTTTTAGAAAAAAAACATGTCATTGTTTTAATGATATTTGTATAATTAGATGATGGTTTATTTGTTTCGTAACTGATAATAATACCATTTAGGTAACATCATTTTTATATGCGTTAGATAAAGAAATCTTGATATTATTTTATCATTTTAAATGCAATTCTTTTTCAAGCAATTAAAACGAGAAATAAAAAAAATTGAATGATGCCCTCAAGCCTATGAAACCATTTAAATATGAGGTAAGATATTAAATTTTCACTTTAAGAACCAAGTGTTTTTGTAATTTCGTCCTTATGGCAAAGTATACAAAATTCAATATTATAAAATTTAGAATTCCATACACATATTAAGAATGTTTCTCTTGAGAACTAAAGAGTTTATTTAAATTAGATGTTTTTTTTTGGTATTTTACGAAAATTATAACATATTTATTTCGCTTATTATAATAACTTAAGTTTTTTTTTGTATTGAATGCTCAGTTAGATAGATTTCTACTAATACGAGTTTTTCTAATGGCTGGCCGTTGAGAATTGTTTGTTGATCTCAAAAAGGTATTATTGCATTTGTTTTTCATTAGTTTACATTTAATCGGTTATTGGAAAAGGTATTGGTTGATTTTATTTTGTTAAATTTTCATCGGTTTTTTAATTGCAATATAAACTATAGACCAGGGGTGGCCAACTTGCTTAGACCCAAGATCGACTTTTCACTGAAGACACCTAGTACGATCTACCAATTACTTTACTTCTTAAAATCTTAAATGAAACAGTATAGTTCGTACACAATTATGTAGCATTTTTATTTTATTTATATTTTTTGAATTGCCACAATCGACTGGACTAATAGTCGCGGTCGACTGGTCGATCGCGATCGACTTGTTGGCCACCCATGCTATAGACAAACTATAATATTTAGATGGGATAGTTTTGATATGACATTTCAGATATGCTTATGGAAATAAGAGTAGCGTTACACTGGTTTTAGATACCATTATGGATATGAATTTATTTTGGATTTTCGTAAATAAATTTAAATATATATTTTTGATAACTTAAAAATTTAATGAATACCAACCGGTGATCTTTTCCAGTGTCTGATTACTTAACTGCCTCATATAGAGAACAAAATATTTTTTTCAACGTGTAATTAAACAGCTCTTAATAGAATAGCCACAAAATTATACAGCTGAAAGACTTTGTGTAGATATATTGTACCTAATAATTAAGCAATCATTGATTTTCTATTACAGACATTTGTTAATACAACTTATGGACATTGTAAAATCCATGTTTTATTAAAGCTATTTGTCGTATTAGTTATTGAGGTTGGCAGTAAATGGAGGCCGATACCTCGTTTCTTTGGTGGTGATACAACTGTTTTGTTTTAAGACAGTACATTACCGTTTAATTACTTTTGAGTGTCATTTAGATTGCGCTGTTTTAATTTTATGACTTTTAATTAATGAAAATGTCGTGCGTCCTCATAGAATGATACTCAAACATGTGACACTGTTCCTCCTTGGGAAAAAATGTGGAAATTCCAACGTGTCGCAAGTTGTTGTAATTATATATTCTTACCGATTAACATACGTAACTTACTTTTTGGAAACAAACAGAAAATATTATATAGTTTTTTTACATTTCTAATATTAATTTATTATTATGTATGTTGTTTAAATAATCATGGAAATTTAATTTATAAAGGCATAAAACCTGAACCTAGCGCCATCTATTGACAATCAGAACTAATTAAATAGTGACGTTTCTTTAACCACCAAATATGAGAGAATGTCGAAAGTTTATCAATACTGTTTGATTATGTAAAAAAAAATTGTAAGTAGAGCAAAAAATTTGAAAAAAAATGTCTCATTTAGTATTTTGTATTGAAAAAAAGTTCGTCGTCACTAAAGTTTCTTTTTCCGTTTTAAATCGGAATTTAAAATATTTTGCAGGCCAAAATTGTGATTATTAAATTTTACGTTTGATCTAAAAGATCCCTAATTTAGCTGTCAAATTATACTAACGCGTGTGTACATGCATTTTAACATATGTAACACTTCCAAATAATATATTTATATAAGATTCTCATAAAGATCGCGGTATTTTGAAATGACAATTACAATTATGATACTGGATGGAAAAGAAAATTAGAATTATTACATCAGCGATGGAAGCAGGATAGTGTTATACTCGTCAAGCGTATATTACCATCACGTTTCAAGGTTTTGCATCGCATTAAGTAGCTTCGGAACTTTTACAAATAAATAAGGGTTTCAATATATTTCGTTTTAAACATTAAGTGGTTATTTTAACGTGAGCTCGACGGTACAACTTAAATATATGCAATATTTCTTTTCCTGAAAGTGAAATTTCCTAAACAGTATTTTTGTACTAATTGCTGATTTAAGTAGTTTTTTTTTACATTGTTTCTTATACTAATGAAGTATGTAAAATGATAAATAAATTGTATACACTTGTATATTTGCATTTTTATTTAAACTTAAATAGAGGTATTAAGGAAAATAAAACAAACAGTAATTGTTGAACTATAAATAGATTCTTGTCTTTATTTTAATGTCTTTTATGGTAAAGATAAATATTGTCTAAATTAAATTAGAAAAAAATAGTCAACTAGAATAAATCAATGACTTCTATGTAGACTAATAGACAAGCTGTAGGTCCTGTACTGAAAAATTGTTTACTAATGGCTGGTGTGGAGATAACAGACTGTCTACGGTCTTCAGTCGTAGTTATAGGATTGATAGCTGAGTATAAAAAAGAAATTCTATTTAGTCCATCAATGAGAAATAGAAAATATAAGATACGCATATTTTTGTTTCAATTTAACAAGAAATAGATAACAGCCATTAAAGTTGAGAAGTGGGGGCACGTTACATCACAACAATGTAACAACTCAATTTAACACCGTTATTTATTGAATACCCGAAAAATACGTAGTTGAAATTCTTCAATAGTTTAAAAGAAAGTAATATTTTCCAGTATAGCATTATAAATCCAAAATTGTTTATTTATTGATATTTTTTTTATTTATTTACATTAGTTCCCGAAATCAAACTAGATGTCGCTACGGTATTTTCTTGACTTCTCTAGACAACAGTTCCAGTTTTCGTTCATGTATAAAAACAAATTCATTTTCTAAATTCAATAAACAACTCCCATTTTATTTGTGTACAACTCATATTTAAAGTCGCCATCTAGTGGGGTGCTTTTTAGCGCTTTCTTTTTTTTATTAAAATACTTCCTCATTTAGTGGTTTTTTCTATGTAGAAAATTTTATAAACTTACGTTTTAAATAGGAAAACCCTTAGAGAGTTGATTTAGTTTCCTATTTTTAAATACAGCTTATTTGGAAGTTAGTTCTTGGCATACAAAACCAATTGAAAGATATTATTCATTATTTATTTTTAGAAACGATACAAGTTTCTATTGTTAGCGATACGTCTCGTTTTCTTGCGATGGTCACATCTGTGTCATTATCCTTTTTATTGCTTGTCTTTTTAATAAACTACATAGCTATCTAGATTTTGGAAATATTTCCGGTGACATGTCTACATTATAAATCCTGTCTAGGTTATCTAGTAGTATACATAGAAGTCTGGAATAATATATCTAATAGTATTGTTGTTTTGACTGTTATCACAGAATACAATATTACCTAAGCGAAATCATGTGGTAACTTTTTAACAGATTTTTACAACAATAACATATAATATATTAATATATATTAGAATAACATTCATATAGAATTACAACCTTTTTGAAGTCTGTGAACGATAATAAAGAAATAGATTAAGTTGAAATATCACGGATTCACTACCTTTCACTGTAGATGGCGTTAATAAATGTTATTTTTATTCTAATATCTTCTCTGTTCTACATAATATTAATGATTTGCACTTGTCACATCATTAGTGTAAAGTATATCAATAAGTTATTTTCCGTCTTATCTTATGTTTTATGATAGATACAAAATAGTTACAAATAAATAGGGATATTTTAATAAAATAAAAGGATTGATGACCAATTGACAGTTAAAGCTAATAAAGCCGTGACGTTTCATCTTAATTTTTGTATATTTAACAATAGCAATTGTATAATCCTTAATCATTTTCGAAATGACCAAAAATATGTTCAGTTTGGTTAATATCAAGTGTTATTATAAAGTTAACATAAAATTTGACTAATATAGAACTATTTAAGGATGTCTTTACATAGAAATCGAGAGACGTTTGACCATTTTTTTTTTATTACTGAAGGATTATTTTTAAATATATCGTGAATTTATCATGCCCTGTCAGTTAAAGATATGTCGAATGTTGATTTTAAGAGAACAGACCCTGATTTATAGAGATGGCGAGTGTTAACGTATGTAGCCGTGACTAACGGTGTAATATGCCTTTCGAAACGGCGAAGATCAAGACAATAATACTTTTGGTCATCCACTCCTTAAAATCGCTGGCTAATACGCCATCAAGTTCAATTCCTCTTTTCTCGATTTCTGTGTGAATAAACGCCTTTTATAAAGAAAACAGTCCTAAAAGTACGATTACATAATCAAAATGATCAGCAAACACAGTGTAAATTGACAAGTGAGTCTTCGGTGGGTAAACTTGTATTTATAATACATTATTAACGTTGTTATGGATTTCTGAGTACATACAATGATTTTTTTGATAAGTTTCTAAATACATAAGTGTCACAGGAACACAGAGCAGCATGTTGTACCACAATGTTACTTTTTTATTAAATTTAATTTTGAAAAACTGCCCACAATGCTTTAAGATTGAAAATCAAGAACAAATTTGTCAGATTTGTATAAGCTGACGTGACATAAGAAGAAAGCTATCGGATATCTATTGCAGCTAATGAGTTTCATTTCATCGTTTTTCTTAACAACCGAAAGACGTCCTGAACAAGTGGCTAAGTAAAAAAGGTACGATTCATAATTACTTTAAATAAGTTAGTTGAATAAAAATATTTAGACTAAGGTGAGAGGTATGTTGAAGACATGCAAGGATAATAACACGTTGCAGTGGATTGTGGATCAGGTTATTGAAGAGAGAAGATATATGGGATTGCCAATTTTAAAAATAGAATACTGTACTGTTTGTCTATTACATGTCTTTTTTTTTTATTAAGAAATCTATAAAAAGAAATCAGTAACACCACGAGTTGTTTTTTGTACTTTCTTTATTATACTAGTGGCAGTTAAGCAATATGACGTATTTTCGTACAAAAGCTGTAACACACCCTGGCGCATCTTTAGATAAACGAGTTATAAGTCATTAATAACATAACACACGATGTGTTGTAAAGCGAGTTATTTATTGCAACTGCTAGTTACATGAGCTTGCTGCTATACAGAATTAAGTATGAGAAAAATCTATTAATTTACATTTTTTTGCACAATGTGGTTTCAGTGTGGTTGGTTTCACTACATATTTTTTATTTTCTATTTCTAATCTTTTAGATTCGTTTTTATATCTTCTTTTCTGTAGAAGACTGATTAGACTTGTTACTGGTTTCTTTTATTTTATTGAATTCTAATTTTTCATTTAAGTACTTTAATTTATTTAATAAATTTTTATTAAATCTCTGATTTGTTACACAAGACCGTTGTCTAAGAAAGTTCAATATATTCAATTTCCAGATTTGTGTGCTTGTTGTTGACATTATTGGTGTTTGGAGCGTGATAAGTGACTGCATTTATTTTAGTTATGTCAATGTGTGGAGATTTGTGTTCTATGCGATGTGCGCATCTTTCTGATTGTATTAAGAATTGAAATTTAATGTATAAGATATCTAAATATACATCTTTATGAGATGTTGCCCAGTATTTGTTCTTTTTTCATAATAGAATATACTTGTCATATTGTAAAATGCAGTTATAAAATGTGTTTAAACAAAGAAATTTATAGAAAGAACAGAACTATTTACAGAGAGTGTCATCATTAAAAAAGTTGGTTTATATATCAAAAATGAAATGTCAATTGTCTCACTCACCGGAAATGGATGTTGTGTTGACTTAGTAAAAAAAAGCTGATTCGACGAGTGCAGCTGCTGTAAGGTAGTTGGTAGTTAAAGGGCATTGTTGTTTGAGAAATAGTGGCGTAAAGGCGTGTATTCGGAGCAGTATGAAAGTGTGTTTCAATCTTGAAGATTTATTACATTGCTGTTCATAATATTTTATTGCACACGGTGTTCTTGAAGCTCTTCTTATGAGCGTTTTAGTGTAAACGTGAAATAGTGTTCCTGATGCAATAGACCTTCATACGGGACTGTGTATATCTTGAGTGGAACATACTACGTGACCTCATAGGTCTAAGCTAGTTCTGAGGCCTGATTTTCTAATTTCAAAATATAACCCAATCAGAACTAAACGCAATTCCTTTCAATTTGACATATAAAAAATAGTCACAAACTTCGCGGTACAAGCATTTGTCATGTGATAGAGATTGCAACCGTGACGTATTTAAAAGATATAGAGTTAATGAACGATGATGCTAATTGGAATTGTTTAAGCAAAACGATAAATGTTTCAAAGCTATTTAGAAACTCAAACGAAAGAGTTGATTAACTTACTACATTTTTTTCGACGGATTTAACTAAGTTTTTAACATGTTATTTGATTATTTACATCATAATTCCTTCCAAAAGCGATTACATTTTTCAATGTTTCATAAATCCATAAAACGCTAACGCAATCGCTGAACCCTTGAATGGGATTTCGATAGATTTTTAAATTAGACAATAAGCTCGTAGTTTTTGCCCGATCCGGCTAAAAAGAAAAAGGTAAAAGTGGGCAGTGTTTTAAAAGCGAGTCCAATACGTGCAGTCAGCACATCAGGCTATATAAGTTTGACAAATTTCTGCACTCGATTTTAAACTTTAATGTTTTGAGGATAGAGTTTAGAGACATTGTGGTAAGCGGACATATAGCCGTGTGTACAAAGTCGTGGTTATGATATTATATCGTGTGCTATGCAACGACTTAGCCCTGATAATCAAGTAAGTGTCTGGTATTGAACTTTTGTAAATGGTGATTATCCTCCAGCCATTGAAATAGAACGGTTTCTAATTTTTACTGGACTTGCTTAATGAATTATTTCAGCTGTTGGATGGATCTTTAATGTTATTGAAGTCATAGGTAGGTCTAGGTAGGTACAATGTCTGAAATGAAAGTAAATTCAAAATGCGCTAGTGTTGTGTAGATTATTAATATTGAAATACCCGATTTTTTTTGAGTTCCTTTTAAGCTGTTTGAGCTGATTTTTTTTAAATATTAATAGTTTCTGCGCAGGAATTTTGTGGTGGATAATTTAGATGATTTCCTTTATGCCGCCATCGTGTATTTCTGTATCCCAAAGGTTGACTGGTAAAGAATGCTAATAGCATTAAGTCCGCCTTTTGTACCAAATCAATGGTCAATAAAGTTTGTTAAATAAATAAATGATTTCTCTAGTGCATCTTTGGAATATGAGTCTCATCAAAATATGGATATGTTATAAGGGTATGCGAGTCTATGGAAGAAATACGATTTCATGTTAGTGGAAATAACGCGGTTAAAAAAGAGGGAAGATCCAGTACCCATGGCCGCAGAAAAATGAGGCTAGGTAGACTATGCCTGCTCCAGAATATTTATTTATGTTGGAAATTATCACCTGTATAGCAGTCCTAGTGTCCCTTCTAGATGGAGGGCAGTCCCTCGATGGAGGCGTGATACCACAGACTAAAGAAAGGTCTTGCAAATACGGCATAAGGTATTGTACCTTTCTAATGTTTGTTTCTAGGTTGTTCCCTTATGGAGAAGTTATCAAAATGGCAAGATGGATAAGTTACTAATAAGAATGATAATGAGAGAGAGAGAGAGAGAAAATAATCACCAACCCATTAATCTAAAGCTATTACACTTTATAAAAATAGAGTTATTTTTTTTTGCTTTCGTAACAGAACACCGGATTTTACTCAAATCGCATGGGATATTGTAGTCCGACAGATAGGTTACCGCGATCTTTTCGTTTAATGGTCTGGCTCACGTACTCTAGTGTCTAAGCTCTGTGTTGTGACGTCATAGGTCTCGTTGCGTGCCCGCGTGCCTGTAGGCGACGTGTTTCCTTAGTGCGTCTCTGGAGCGTGACACGTGAGTGCATGCGCGGCACGCGTGCCGTCTGCCCGCGTGCGTCTCCATGTGAACACGGAGGTTGTACTGATTACTCAATCTCTTGTTGCATATAGTGCATACGGAATTGTTAGTCCGCCATTTTCTGTCGTACGACTCAGGTGGGTCTGCAATTTAATTAATCGAGTTGTTATTAATAAATAACTACCACAATTAAATTTACGCCGTTTTAAAACGCAATAATATACGGGTATGACGTGTCTTATAATAATTAACTTCATTAGGTAGGTCTACTTATCTGAAAGATGAGAAGATGTCTTAATGGAAACATACATACAAAAAATATACTACAGGGGCCACCACCTTACTATCTAGCTATAACCATAACTTTAGCCAAAGGATACGACATTGTAGCGAATATTATGGCGATATTTCATTTCATTTTACTACTTTGACATATCTTTTGATGGATATATTTTGGGATAAATGACTACTGCTATCAAATCCACATTCATTACATATCATACCTTCTTCGTCAAAATAAAGCGCTATAACTGCTAACATCGCTAAGATTCTGTAACTAGAATTACAGCTTAAGTTAGGCGGCCGTTCTATAGAGATGCAATTCTCTAGCCATTATTTTAGCCATAGGATACAATATCTTATCGACGTTATAGCGAAATTTCATACATTACTATCGTAAGCAGACCTCTGTTAGTAGTCTGACGTTCAGCCGTGTGTACTTTCGTAACGATGAAAGAACGATAAAGAATGGTGATTATGATTTTGATAGCAGCTTTATCAACTTAGTTATTAAACTCAAATTTATCCATTAAACGAAATGACATGTCAAAGAAGTAAACATAAAAGGAAATATTGTCAAGATATCGGTAAGATTTTGTATCCTATGGCTAGAATCAAGACTAGTGTTAGGCTTCGCTCTGCAGGCTATCAATAACGTGGCTATCGTCCCAATGTGTCAATTTGTGCTGCAGAATAGAAAAAGGCCATACTTCAGTAATTTTACCTGTCAAGTTAATCCTAGGTGGAACAACAGGCACTGCTGGATTCCCAAGCTTATGTGTGCTATACAAATTCTGTACGATCTGGTCCAATTTACTAAGTCTGTCCTTTTCCGCGACCGTCGTAAAGTCCTGGTGGGTCGGATTGATTTTGTCTGGAGTGACGTCATCGAGGCGGGAACTACCACTGGAGTTGTCGTTCACAATGAAATTGGAGTTAAGGTCGCTCTTGATCTCTAGATTGATCGGAGAGTTGGATTGTTCAAGGTTTGTTTGCTCGTCAGTCGGTATTAGTGTTGAATTCTGAAAATAAAGATGTCTTTATTCAGCATTTATTTTTATTTAATTTTTTTCAGTACAACCAAATACCCTGAACATACGCGATCAAGAGATTGCTGCGTAAGTACGTATAATTTTTGTGTTATCGGGACAAAGAGTCTCAAAAATACAATAATTTAAAAGAAACATGTTTTATGAAATGGTAGAAAATGAAAACAATTTACATTACCTACTATGAATATAACAACGTAAATAAAAGTTATTTTGATGTCGAAGGCTTCATATTTTTTAACAATGTCGCCTGACGAGTTAAGATTTACTTCTTCTCACGTGAAATTTCCTCGTAGCATGCCAGTAACTTTTTTATTTCCCGTTTTGTAGCAGACACGCGCTCTTCGTCGGGATATATTTTTTCTAAAATTTGTCGTAAAATTTTCACCTGTTAAGTTTTAAATCCTAATTTGATTTTCCAGTTCAACAGGGTCTAACCAACGAATCAATTTGTTCAATGTCTTAATCATGCTTATCGACGTCGAATACTATTGGCAATTTTGTGCGATCTTATGACTATGAGAAATATTTATTTTTCATAATAAAACAACTACTGAGAAACTACAACTTAAAAACATAATTTTAGGCGCACATAATAAATGTTGACATATAACTTTTATTTAACAATTTATAATGAAGGTAATCCTAGAAAACATTAAAGTGTACACGGACGTATAAAGCGGCACACCATGCTGGATGTGGCAATGATACGGATTACACTTTTTTTAAATAACATTGATAATGTTCAGTAAGATTTACTTTGTATTTTTTTTTATTATTTTTGTTTTATTCTTATATTTTTTAATAGGTTTAGCAAATGTTTTTTAGTTAATATTAGGTTAGTTTTATTGTTATTAGTTGTTTAAAGTTATCGATCCAAAATATGTACTCATTCATTAATACACATTATATATATATAATATGCATACTCTTGATATATATTATATCTTTATATGATTAATGATATGAGATTTAAACAACCTTTCGAATTTATTGTAAAGCAAAACTCCATCGTATTCAAACAGTAGGCGTGCAAAACTTCCATTACAAAACTCTGTTCCATGGTATTATTTTAATAAAAATGATTTTTATTTATTATTGCATAATTAGAATATTAAAAAAATGAACTCTAAACGTATTTATCTTACTGAAACTTATTTTTCTTGTTAGGTAACAAACCGAATGACGTCATATCATGGCGGCTACTGATTCGCGTAATAAAACCACAGACTAAAGATTTGAATTTTAAAAATTGTCTTCTTTATATTCTAAATGTAAAATGCTTAAAAATCCACTTTCTACACTTTGTCCTAAAAATTCTACTGCTACAAAATTCTACATTGTCCCTGGCATCCTTTATCCTATCTCAGGATGCCAGGGACAAAGTAGAATTTTGTATTCTACTTTGCTTATTGCTTAAGCTATCTCATTTTTGCTCGTAATTACTAAAATACCCTATTAAAGGCGCATTTAACACTCATCATATTAAAATTTCGTATCAGCGCTACAAATTACTTGATATTATCAAATTAAATTTAATGATAGAAAAGATTAACTTAATTTTTCTAAAATTTAAATTCTAAAAATGTCTTAGCTAATATGACACACATCCAAATCGAAAATATATTGCTGAATATGTTACATTGCTGAAGACTACTATGTCTAAATCTTAACGTTACATCTTTTGTAACGTTACGTTACTAATTTTCTTAAACCTCTATCCCTTCTTAAAGGGAGCAAACTGTTCCTCTGTATCTCATGGCACCTGGCAATGAAATATTCATATCTATTAAATGGCCAGGAACAATAAGTTACACAGGATGGATGTTATGACATCATTTGTTTACATCTGCGACCAAACATTTTGCTAGGTTTTACTCTGTAGTTCCCGGAAAATATTCGTATGAGCTCATTTCGTATTTCCAATAAAGACGTATTTAATCTTGTCATTTAACAGCAAATCAAACAAGAAACTTAACAAAATGTTGTTTTAACTTTCATGGTAATTAACATCAGAATGATTGCTAAAAACGGGATTGCTATAATATACCTCATACTTCACGAGTTCTTAGAGTAACTGACGTTTATGCGGGTGGGTATTATCGGGAGATATATCTGCTAAGCCTATTTCTGCTGCAGTGATCATGACGCTTGTAACAGCGCTGAATTAAAAGGAACTCGTGAAATATAAGGTACATGGTAGCAATCCTGTTATTAGCAATAAATCTGAACTTACAGTATCTGCGTCCGTTAGTCCCGAGACTTTCAGCGTCTGTGCGAGCCTCAGCATCGATGGCAGGATGCTTTTGGATGCGGTAACTTCCCCCGTGTACATGAACGTGAGGAGCAGCCTCAGTTCTGCAGCTTCGCATCCCAACACCACCACTACAGTGTTGCCATCTGTGTCTAGTTCCTGTAAGAAGACGTTACACATTAGAAAAACGCCCATCGTTTTGCTGGAGTGCTGAAAATGCAACTTTATGTTAAGATTACATTATTCCATCCTAACTGATAAATGTGTAGGTATTTAATTGAGATATATTCTAGTTGGTTTTAGCAATCCAGCGATCAAAAATTTTGCTGTTTCATAGGCGACAACATGTATATTATATGAATGACTGTTCCGTCATAAGAAGAAATTTGATTAATGAGCGAAGTGGAAATTTTAGTAATTTACGAGGAAAATATTTGATTTACTTGTTTGTGTTACTAACTAAAGGAAAAGGCTGTTTTGAATAGTGCCTTGATACCGTCTTATGAATACGAAAGGCTTTCTGGGGTAAAGACCTAAGAGGTGACTGTGAGATGTAATCATTGTGGAAATTGTAAATATAGTATCTTTTTTTATAGGAACGCAATACTTTCCTACAGTAAAAAGTAGCTAATATTCATTATAATAGAAGTCTAAACTATAGTCTATCTATCTCAATACTCTTATTATATATCTCAATACCAAATTCCAATTAAACCTGTACTAGAAAAATTTGTGGAAGTGTAATAAACAAACGAGCAGAGGCGAGTTCCACACTTATAATATTACTTCAGGATAGAATTTTTAAATGAAATGGTGGAATATATACCTACTAATATTACAAAGATGCGAGCTTAGATTTTTGTTGCATATGCATTGAATAGGCTCCGAAACTATTAGACTGATATTGAAAACTTTCACTTACGAGAAGCTACATCATACCCAATGTAGCTGTAGTTTATGCTCATGTATAATTAATTACGCGGAAGGCGTGAGAAAACAGCTATATAATTCAAAATAATTTCAGAGAAAACTTTATTTTATTCGTTAATTTTGTTTGTGGTTTTTATCCATATGGATATGTCAACTTGATCGTACCTGTTACATTAGTTTTACGTATCCTACAATAACATAATACATTAAAAAAACCCTCAAACAATACTAAAATCAGACATTATGTACACAATGTTAATAGGAGGTATGCACAGATAATATAATTATCTATATAGGGTTTGAAAAAAACCTGTTTCTCAAAGCGTTTTCTGTCAAAACCTAAGCCGAATTAGAACGTCTGCTTTTATCCAAGCCTTTACTAGTGCTTACCTTGAATAGCTGTGCGAAGTACTGACTGCAGGATGCTAACACCAATCTATGGGCCTTGACTGAAGTCCCGCTTGCGCTAAGGGTGACATCAGCTAAGGCACCTGTACTCAGCATACGGCCCAGCGCTGTTATCACGCTGTTCTGTGATAAGCCGATGACATTTTAATATCATTTGTACTTAGAAGTCCATTTACCGTGTTGTTAAATGCAATGAATACTAATATTATAAGGAGGTAAAGTTTCTAACTTTGTTTGTAGGTAATCTTTGGAAATACGGATTCGATCTTAAAAATGTTTCATCCACAGGAAGCTACGTCATACATGTGATATAGGCCGTAAATGCGGGTCACGGAAAAAGGCTAGCATATAATATATACATAGTTAGTAATATATAAGTGCCTTCACTCGTATTAGAGATTAAGATTTAAAATTCTTAGGATTATTTTGAAATTATTAACCTATTAATATCTCATTTCTATACATTATATAAAACAAAGTATCTTATCGCTGCCTGAGATTACGTGATGAGTGACCTTTTGTTTATATATATATAGAATATAGATACAAGACCACGTAGATAAACCCTTTGCTATAGTAAAGCTAGTTATCTAATTAAAATCAAGCTTTACTTTGTAAATATCCATTGCAATAACTATATAACTACGATATCCATCAACATCTATACCTGGTTAATAAATAGATATATATAAAGCACATACAATGCTCATATATAAAAATAAGTAGCTAAAGCAGTTGCATTATGGAAGAACTGACGCAACAAAGGTTACACCAGTCTGGACACCATACAATTTAAAGCAGTGTTTTTCAATCTGTGGGTCGTGACCGCTAGTGAACGAGGAGTTTTATTCGGGGGGGTTTCCGGCCAAAGAAAAATCTCAAGATTCCAAGGTACAATACGTATAATACGTCCAATCTCTGCAATGGATTAAAATATCAAAGAGAAAATAGAAAATTGACGGTCTTGTATAATATAACGTGCTGTTAATTGTACTTCGTAATTCTACGGAGTAATCTCAGGCGATATTTGATTTTGTAGTGATAAAAAGTTATAATTATGGTATAATAAAAAATAGGTAAAGTAATAAGAACCACCATTCTAACTAAGAAAAGTTTAAAAAAGTTAATCTGGGAATCAATTTCAAAATTTTAAAGATAACGACACCATGTGATTCTAATCCACTCAAGCACAGAGGTCATTAATATGAAATAACTAACTTTCCTCAAGCCGATGCGCCCACATGGTCCTTATAATTTATTTATGTTAATTCAGGTTTAGAATTATCCATCTATAAAATTTTATCAAAATCCGTCCAAAAGTAACAAACATATATACCTACATAGGTACATCTTCACAAACTTTCGCATTTACAATATTAGTCATACACGAGACTCGTTTGTAGATTATTTTTATCACTCAACTAAAGCCTTGTTGCCCTGGATTAAAATTAATCGTTATAATTAATTTTCATATTGTTAATTACATGTCTTTTGTAACTGTTATATTACAACACGTAAATTGCGTCAGTGTGCGTGAGCAAGCATGTAGCGTGTAGTAAGCGTGGATAATAAATTAGATTTTTTTAATCAATTAATTTACTTTTTATAGTGCTCGTTTGGTACGTTTGGTTCAGCTCAAAATTGAAGCGGTGATAGATGGTGTTTTTATAATTTAGAGTCCAGGACCTCAGAGATGGTGACACCTTGAAATCAACGTACGAGCTCAGCTCGGGACTGGCAAATTGTATGTTTTGTATGTACTTAAAGTAATTATCAGGTAATAATGGAAAGCATTCCTTGACATAGACAGAAGAGTTGGCAGAACTTCGTAAAAAAACAAAGCCGGAAAGCTTTGAGATGATCAAAACATACCAAATTGACTGACCACAAAGTTTAAATAAGTCTCATGAATGGAATAGTTCTTATTGCGCTTGACATAAAATGGATCCAAAAAGGTTTAATTAATTTTAATATGTGCACGAAAAGAGGTGCGTTTTATTGTTATATATTGATCTATGAAGTAACAGAGGTTTGAGTGTATTTTATTATATTTAAAATTATCGCTTTGAAAAACTTTAGAAACTAATTGACGAATCTAGTGCAAAAAAAAATCTGGCTTAATGAACTTTGAATCGAAGCCAGTACATATTAAAAATATGTTTGATTTTAAATTTAGAACTGGTATATATTTTATAGTGATGCATTAGTGATGTGCATCGACACAAAAGCTATTTTTGTCTAAAACAACTTGATATCGATATTTACCTATAATTGTCATTGTTTTATACTAGAAAATCATATTTTTACGTGCAGTAAGTAAATTAAAATTATTCAATATTATTGCATTACCTATAGGTATAGATGAGTGCAATATCTATCATAAAATACGAGTATTAATTTAGTTTTCATATTTGATTTCAAGTTATAAATAATTAACTTTTTTTATTAAGTATTAAAGTTTAAAACAAATTATTATACTTACTTTGCTATAGACACACTTAGTTTTGATATTATATGAACTAATATTAACATTTATTAAAAGTATTTGTTTTGTGTACCTGCATTCGTGGCGAGAGAAGTGGTGTGTTTCAAAAGGAAAAAAAATACTCACCTACCTGATGATTATGCCAGCGCAATGAGAATTGTTGCATTTCATCGTCATCCATAGCGTCACAATAATAAATAAATAAAAAATAATGACAATAAGGAGAAAAAGCGAAAGCGTAAGTTGTTATACTAAAACACTCACATCCAACGCCGCACTCAACCGCTCGAGACAATAATATTGTTTAACAGATCCAGGCTACTTTATTTTCGTTCGGACGCCTGGAAAACCTGTAGCCACCTATTTCTGGAGCTGTATCGTATTTATAAATCCAATGACATTCGCACTGTGACGCGTCTCACATACCAAAAGTCATCCAAAAGCAGATTTAGTACGCTCGATACGATTGACATCATTGTTCGCGCCGATTAGCGATTTGGCGAGCGATTCTTTTCAATTTTATTTTGAATTTCGAAAAGCTGACTTTACAGATTTGGGGACCTCCTTTGATTTATTATCACGCGACCTGTATGTTTACGTTATTGTTTTTTTTTTTAATAAAAGCGAAGAATTATTTTGAGTGAAATGAGTGTAGGCTGAATGAATATAGATGTAATTTCCTTCGCTCGTTAAGAAATATTTATTTATGGAACTGATTTCTGCTGGTTCTGAAAAGATATCCCAATAGAAATAGGGAATAAAAAATATTAAAAGACGTCTAAGCAATGGAAAATAATAGTAGCCAAGATTTTGACGATCCCGATTTCTTTGTAAATATTAAAATTAACATTGAAAAGCAGCTTTCCAATTTGAAAAAGATTATTGATATTATAAATCAAATGAGAGGTATTTGTTTGTTTTTTTTAAGTCATATATAAAAAATATTACATTTCCAATGTCAATGATAAATCTTAACAAATTAATATTTTTTGTGTTTGGCATATGTCCAGCTTGGAGACGTTAGTGAGGTAACATTTTATTTATTATATTACAACAAGAAGATTGCCTTAAATACATTAATTTACTAAACATGTCGAGGCACAAGATGGTTTTCGTTAGATTGTTAGAACAAAAAAAAAGTGAAAATTATTATATATTTTTTAGAAGTTAATGAAAAATGCTTAAAAAATCATCTTTGTGCCTGGCATTTTGAGATTGTTTAACGAACCCATTACCTTTCGCAATCCGGGCGACTGCTCTAACCACTGAGCTACCCAGGACCTAACAGGACTGACGAATGTTTTAAGCAGTTGTTACTTTAATGCTACTGCAGAGCATTTTTCTATAAATATAGCATTGCGAATGTAAAATTGATCAAATATAATCAGAAGTTAACTTATTATAACGTTTGATGAAATTTGATTAATTTAGAAATTAACTTCTTTAATAAAAAATGTTTCAAAAAAAAGCTTCTTTAAAGGTATTTATCAGAATAGCATTGGGAATGCAAATATTAATAAACAAGACATTATATAAAAAGTTATGTAACAAATCCCAAAAACTTGAGTCGAGCTGAGAGTTTGTTATCACTTATATAGTTTCTTTGCAGTTAATACCCTCTATTAAAATTCAGGAATTCAATGGCGTAGTGGTCATTGCGGTCGGTGTACGAATGTGTGACCAAAAATGGCCCGCACTGGGCCTATGTGGGCCATTATGATGATTGCAATTTATTTCTCTAAGCGGTTTGGCTTCAAAAGATAGTGCTCTTGTATTAGTTACAGATTTGTTTATTTTCAGTGGAAGCTGCGTATTTAGAATCAGATATGATGCTAATCATAGACGCTGCAACTTGGGAGAATATATCGGAACTAATTGGTCTTACTTCCTTAAACATTGTCAATATAGATACGAAATAATAAAATAAACAATATTTTTTTACAATTTTTTTATTTATTTTACTATTATGTACAGTTAACAGCACGTCAAGACTATACAAATCTGTCCAGTTTCCCCATTCGTTTTTAAACCTTAATTAATTTAAATTAGAGGTCAAAATCAAGTTCAGAAATAAGATTTATTGTGGTTACATGACGTGTAGCCGTGTGTGCATTCATGAAATCTTGCAGTAGTTATCTTTAATCAGTAAGCTGTACATTTTTATACAGCTTTGCTATTCTTTCAAAAAACAGGTTGAATTAAAATAAAATAGACTTTAAAAGGTAATTAAGGTTTTATTTGATCTCTATGGTGCGATGTGCTCGACGCTGCAATACGTTGATTTTTAGTTTTATTTTTATTTTCTCATTTTATAATAATCTAATGCAAGGAAATTATTTAATTAAATAACTTTATTCAAAGATTGTCTAGTTGTAAACATACACTAGATGCACTGTATATTGATGTATAATACGGGTCTAAACACCTACACAGGCACCAGTCTCCCACAAGTGACCTAATTTCCTAAATCTACTGTTTGTGTCATTTATATCGTGTTATTTGTGGCGAGAGATAAATTTATTTTATGATTTTTATTAATTTTGCTTTGGATTATGATTCGAAAGAGTCTGTACTTGGGGTTTCTTATAACATGTCTTAAATATATTTTTTACGAACTATTTTGTTTTTATCTTTTTAAGATATTTCAGATAATATTTACGTTTCAATACAATATAAATGTATGAAAAGATTTTTCTGTTAAAAAAAGGTTAAAATCTTTTATGGCATACAGCGTTCAAACTGGTTCAAAGTTGAAACGTTTAACAGACTGTCTTATTTCAAATTCAGAATATGCAAAAAGCGAAAAATCTCAGAAATATAAAAACGAGTATTTAACCCATTTATAAATTATTATAAATTTCTACTCGTTCTCTACCTTCTTTTAAAAGGATTTTCAATGTGGCCGCTTTCTGTAGCGAGCCGTTCATTTTATGCAACTATAGAAGTGTACTTTCAATCGAAAATAACCTCAATTGCTTAAAGAATAGAAGTTGGTACGAATGCATTGAAAAATTTGCCACGAACACTAGTGAATTATTCGGTTCACAGCATTTTGTAGTACCGGGAACGGCCGTGCGGAGTCGCTACCGTCGCTCTAGGTATTTTACGATGTCGACAATAGAATTCCGAGCGATATTCGACAAAAATCGAATTGAATCCGTTAGAACGCCATAGACGTCGTGTTTATTTGACTATAAAATTTGTAAACACTTGTATACCGCAAATAAACATGGATGCCCGTAAAAAACGACTTGGCTGTAAACTTTGCTCCCTTATTCAATTGCATATAACTTCATGACAATAGAGATAACTAAAAACTTTTTTCTGTCACGTAAAAATTAAAAACTAACATTCCTTTACATTTTTTTTACGTAATACCTATTTATATGTGAGTAGCTCGGTGATGTAGTGGATAAGCGCCGCGAACTGAGATCGTTGTCGTTAAGCAAATTATGCGCCGGCAAGGGATGGGTGTCCAAAAAAAGCTACTTCGTGGTTCGGAAGGTACGTTAAGCGGTTGGTCCCAGCTGCATTTGCAATCGTTAATACCCTCCAATCCGCATTGGGCCAGCGTGGAGAGTCATGATGACCCATCCTCTTTAACTATCCCATCCATCATAAGGAAGGCCTGAGCCCCAGCAGTGGGGACGTAAGGGCTGATGATAATGATGACTTATTTATGATACGTTGATTTAAAATGTCTCATGACGTCACATTATTATAGATTTTATATATTTACGACATAGTGAACTCCTACTCCTAATTTTAAAGCCTATCAGGCATTTTTTGTTATCATGGGACACCAAAATAATATGTATGTAATATTCTTCTTTTATTTGACCGATGGACTAAATATTGATTTTCATTTATCCAGGAATCATCCATTACCTTAACATGAATGAATGAATGAATATATACTTTATTGCCCAGTAAATCATAATCATGAAAACCAATATAATTAGGAACATAAATACAAAAGGCGGCCTTATTACTAAGGCAGCAATCTCTACCAGGCTACGCTTGGCTAAAAGAAACTATATCGATTGAGTAAAGATGCAGCGGCAGTGGTCAAGGGGCTAGGCGGGGCAGTGCCCCGGGCCCTCAAGCTCAGGGGGCCCTCGAATCTTTACAAGAAAATCTCAATCGAACTCAACTTTTAAAAATTTCTCCCATTTTCAAAATAAATATGACAGGTGACATCTCGAGTTTAATCATGACAACTCAATTGTGAGAAATTCCAAAGTTATAAAAAGGGAATTCCCCTAAATAATTTGTGTGGGTTGACAGTGTTATTAATGTTTTCATCAATTTGTCGGATATCAATGCCTGCATATTATTAGTTATCGATATGCGTTTTGTGATTCGCGATTGTGAACTTCGAGTCAAGATTTTTTTTCGAGAATGGTTAAAAAGTTAATGTATCAGGAGTAAGTAAGCGTATGTCAATAAATTTTTTGTACTGGTCGATACAAAAGTTCAATTTTATTTGATTATTGTACGTATACATAGTTACTTAAAGAAATCTGTAGATTTCGGCTACTCACTATATAACTCAAAATTCCGCGAAAAATACAAGTCACATGCGGTAGGGGGCCGTCCATTAATTACGTGATGTTTTTTTGTTATTTTGGTAACACTGGCGGCGATAAAATGTTTTCCTCTTACTTACATTTCGCTTTCTTTTTACTTGTAAAATAAATTAGAAAACTAATATTATGGACAAAAAAAAGAAACCCAGTGGTGCATTTAGACGCCATTAACAACGCCAAGAAAGAGAACAAAGAAAACAAAAAGTGCCCAAAATTGACAAGTTATTTAGTCAGCCTTCTGCAAGTACTTCTGAACAAAATATTTCTATTGATAATTTTTGTAACTAGCTTGCATGGCGATAGGTTAATTAACAGTAAGCTGGTGCAACGTATCTATGAATAAATAAATATATAATAAACCCTTGAATCTTTTCTATTTCGTTTTATTGCCCAATACTTTTTTTTTTATATATATATATATATTTTTTTTTAATGCAGGGGAAATGCACTTTAAGCCTCAAACCAGGGCTCTCCTTCCACCCCGCCCTAAAAAGGGCAGGTTGGTGTGAAAGGCCTACCTGGTAAAACCCGCTGCGGTTTACCTCACACGGATAGGAAGAACCCGGTATCCTGCAAGGAGGGCCCGATTTCT